ATAAAATTTGACGAAGTGCAAATCTTCACTTCGTGTCATAATGTAAAAATAACGCTAATTTTTTATAAAATTTGACGAAGTGCAAATCTTCACTTCGTGTCATAATGTAAAAATAACGCTAATTTTTTATAAAATTTGACGAAGTGCAAATCTTCACTTCGTGTCATAATGTAAAAATAACGCTAATTTTTATAAAATTTGACGAAGTGCAAATCTTCACTTCGTGTCATAATGTAAAAATAAGTTAGTTTTTTATAAAATTTGACGAAGTGCAAATCTTCACTTCGTGTCATAATGTAAAAATAAAGTTAGTTTTTTATAAAATTTGACGAAGTGCAAATCTTCACTTCGTGTCATAATGTAAAAATAAAGTTAGTTTTTTATAAAATTTGACGAAGTGCAAATCTTCACTTCGTGTCATAATGTAAAAATAAAGTTAGTTTTTATAAAATTTGACGAAGTGCAAATCTTCACTTCGTGTCATAATGTAAAAATAACGCTAATTTTTTATAAAATTTGACGAAGTGCAAATCTTCACTTCGTGTCATAATGTAAAAATAACGCTAATTTTTATAAAATTTGACGAAGTGCAAATCTTCACTTCGTGTCATAATGTAAAAATAACGCTAAATAAAAAACGAAGCAAATCTTCACTTCGTGTCATAATGTAAAAATAACGCTAATTTTTTATAAAATTTGACGAAGTGCAAATCTTCACTTCGTGTCATAATGTAAAAATAACGCTAATTTTTTATAAAATTTGACGAAGTGCAAATCTTCACTTCGTGTCATAATGTAAAAATAACGCTAATTTTTTATAAAATTTGACGAAGTGCAAATCTTCACTTCGTGTCATAATGTAAAAATAAAGTTAGTTTTTATAAAATTTGACGAAGTGCAAATCTTCACTTCGTGTCATAATGTAAAAATAACGCTAATTTTTTATAAAATTTGACGAAGTGCAAATCTTCACTTCGTGTCATAATGTAAAAATAACGCTAATTTTTTATAAAATTTGACGAAGTGCAAATCTTCACTTCGTGTCATAATGTAAAAATAACGCTAATTTTTTATAAAATTTGACGAAGTGCAAATCTTCACTTCGTGTCATAATGTAAAAAAACGCTAATTTTTTATAAAATTTGACGAAGTGCAAATCTTCACTTCGTGTCATAATGTAAAAATAACGCTAATTTTTTATAAAATTTGACGAAGTGCAAATCTTCACTTCGTGTCATAATGTAAAAATAACGCTAATTTTTTATAAAATTTGACGAAGTGCAAATCTTCACTTCGTGTCATAATGTAAAAATAAAGTTAATTTTTATAAAATTTGACGAAGTGCAAATCTTCACTTCGTGTCATAATGTAAAAATAAAGTAATTTTTTATAAAATTTGACGAAGTGCAAATCTTCACTTCGTGTCATAATGTAAAAATAACGCTAATTTTTTATAAAATTTGACGAAGTGCAAATCTTCACTTCGTGTCATAATGTAAAAATAACGCTAATTTTTTATAAAATTTGACGAAGTGCAAATCTTCACTTCGTGTCATAATGTAAAAATAACGCTAATTTTTTATAAAATTTGACGAAGTGCAAATCTTCACTTCGTGTCATAATGTAAAAATAACGCTAATTTTTTATAAAATTTGACGAAGTGCAAATCTTCACTTCGTGTCATAATGTAAAAATAACGCTAATTTTTTATAAAATTTGACGAAGTGCAAATCTTCACTTCGTGTCATAATGTAAAAATAACGTAATTTTTTATAAAATTTGACGAAGTGCAAATCTTCACTTCGTGTCATAATGTAAAAATAACGCTAATTTTTTATAAAATTTGACGAAGTGCAAATCTTCACTTCGTGTCATAATGTAAAAATAACGCTAATTTTTTATAAAATTTGACGAAGTGCAAATCTTCACTTCGTGTCATAATGTAAAAATAACGCTAATTTTTTATAAAATTTGACGAAGTGCAAATCTTCACTTCGTGTCATAATGTAAAAATAAAGCTAATTTTTTATAAAATTTGACGAAGTGCAAATCTTCACTTCGTGTCATAATGTAAAAATAACGCTAATTTTTTATAAAATTTGACGAAGTGCAAATCTTCACTTCGTGTCATAATGTAAAAATAACGCTAATTTTTATAAAATTTGACGAAGTGCAAATCTTCACTTCGTGTCATAATGTAAAAATAACGCTAATTTTTATAAAATTTGACGAAGTGCAAATCTTCACTTCGTGTCATAATGTAAAAATAACGCTTAATTTTTTATAAAATTTGACGAAGTGCAAATCTTCACTTCGTGTCATAATGTAAAAATAACGCTAATTTTTTATAAAATTTGACGAAGTGCAAATCTTCACTTCGTGTCATAATGTAAAAATAACGCTAATTTTTTATAAAATTTGACGAAGTGCAAATCTTCACTTCGTGTCATAATGTAAAAATAACGCTAATTTTTTATAAAATTTGACGAAGTGCAAATCTTCACTTCGTGTCATAATGTAAAAATAAAGTTAGTTTTTTATAAAATTTGACGAAGTGCAAATCTTCACTTCGTGTCATAATGTAAAAATAACGCTAATTTTTTATAAAATTTGACGAAGTGCAAATCTTCACTTCGTGTCATAATGTAAAAATAACGCTAATTTTTTATAAAATTTGACGAAGTGCAAATCTTCACTTCGTGTCATAATGTAAAAATAACGCTAATTTTTTATAAAATTTGACGAAGTGCAAATCTTCACTTCGTGTCATAATGTAAAAATAACGCTAATTTTTTATAAAATTTGACGAAGTGCAAATCTTCACTTCGTGTCATAATGTAAAAATAAAGTATTTTTTATAAAATTTGACGAAGTGCAAATCTTCACTTCGTGTCATAATGTAAAAATAAAGTTAGTTTTTATAAAATTTGACGAAGTGCAAATCTTCACTTCGTGTCATAATGTAAAAATAAAGTTAGTTTTTTATAAAATTTGACGAAGTGCAAATCTTCACTTCGTGTCATAATGTAAAAATAACGCTAATTTTTTATAAAATTTGACGAAGTGCAAATCTTCACTTCGTGTCATAATGTAAAAATAACGCTAATTTTTTATAAAATTTGACGAAGTGCAAATCTTCACTTCGTGTCATAATGTAAAAATAACGCTAATTTTTTATAAAATTTGACGAAGTGCAAATCTTCACTTCGTGTCATAATGTAAAAATAACGCTAATTTTTTATAAAATTTGACGAAGTGCAAATCTTCACTTCGTGTCATAATGTAAAAATAAGCTAATTTTTTATAAAATTTGACGAAGTGCAAATCTTCACTTCGTGTCATAATGTAAAAATAACGCTAATTTTTTATAAAATTTGACGAAGTGCAAATCTTCACTTCGTGTCATAATGTAAAAATAAAGTTAGTTTTTTATAAAATTTGACGAAGTGCAAATCTTCACTTCGTGTCATAATGTAAAAATAACGCTAATTTTTTATAAAATTTGACGAAGTGCAAATCTTCACTTCGTGTCATAATGTAAAAATAACGCTAATTTTTTATAAAATTTGACGAAGTGCAAATCTTCACTTCGTGTCATAATGTAAAAATAACGCTAATTTTTTATAAAATTTGACGAAGTGCAAATCTTCACTTCGTGTCATAATGTAAAAATAACGCTAATTTTTTATAAAATTTGACGAAGTGCAAATCTTCACTTCGTGTCATAATGTAAAAATAACGCTAATTTTTTATAAAATTTGACGAAGTGCAAATCTTCACTTCGTGTCATAATGTAAAAATAACGCTAATTTTTTATAAAATTTGACGAAGTGCAAATCTTCACTTCGTGTCATAATGTAAAAATAACGCTAATTTTTTATAAAATTTGACGAAGTGCAAATCTTCACTTCGTGTCATAATGTAAAAATAACGCTAATTTTTTATAAAATTTGACGAAGTGCAAATCTTCACTTCGTGTCATAATGTAAAAATAAAGTTAGTTTTTTATAAAATTTGACGAAGTGCAAATCTTCACTTCGTGTCATAATGTAAAAATAACGCTAATTTTTTATAAAATTTGACGAAGTGCAAATCTTCACTTCGTGTCATAATGTAAAAATAACGCTAATTTTTTATAAAATTTGACGAAGTGCAAATCTTCACTTCGTGTCATAATGTAAAAATAACGCTAATTTTTTATAAAATTTGACGAAGTGCAAATCTTCACTTCGTGTCATAATGTAAAAATAACGCTAATTTTTTATAAAATTTGACGAAGTGCAAATCTTCACTTCGTGTCATAATGTAAAAATAACGCTAATTTTTTATAAAATTTGACGAAGTGCAAATCTTCACTTCGTGTCATAATGTAAAAATAAAGTTAGTTTTTTATAAAATTTGACGAAGTGCAAATCTTCACTTCGTGTCATAATGTAAAAATAACGCTAATTTTTTATAAAATTTGACGAAGTGCAAATCTTCACTTCGTGTCATAATGTAAAAATAACGCTAATTTTTTATAAAATTTGACGAAGTGCAAATCTTCACTTCGTGTCATAATGTAAAAATAACGCTAATTTTTTATAAAATTTGACGAAGTGCAAATCTTCACTTCGTGTCATAATGTAAAAATAACGCTAATTTTTTATAAAATTTGACGAAGTGCAAATCTTCACTTCGTGTCATAATGTAAAAATAAAGCTTTTTTATAAAATTTGACGAAGTGCAAATCTTCACTTCGTGTCATAATGTAAAAATAACGCTAATTTTTTATAAAATTTGACGAAGTGCAAATCTTCACTTCGTGTCATAATGTAAAAATAACGCTAATTTTTTATAAAATTTGACGAAGTGCAAATCTTCACTTCGTGTCATAATGTAAAAATAACGCTAATTTTTTATAAAATTTGACGAAGTGCAAATCTTCACTTCGTGTCATAATGTAAAAATAAAGTTAGTTTTTTATAAAATATTTTTTTATTTTGTATGTAAAGACAGATATGTCAACAACAGAGAACACAACAACAGTTATAGTCCATGAAGCTATAAATGAAGAATACGAATACATACAATATAACAAACAGTTACGTCTCATTCGTTCGGTCAAAGACGATATGTACCAAATGCAAAGTATTTTGAATGCTCTTCGTTCTACAAAGCAAGCATATCATTGGTTTGAAAACCAACAGACAAAAGAACTTTTAGAAGAATTTCCTCATATGATTGCTTCCCTCGGAAAACCGAGAGAAGAGATTCCGTACGAAAATCGTGAAAAATTGCCAAACGGTTTGAGAGGATATTATGTACATAGACTTCTTGTAAATGCTGTTGCAATGTGGGCTTCAGCTCGTTATGCTTGGAATATTTACAGACTTCTTGACGAAATTCATAGACAAGAACGTGAAGAGATGGAAAACAAGCTTGAAGCAAAAGACAAAAGCATTCAGAAAAGAATACCACGTTCAGTACCAAAAGGAAAGGAAAAGAACTATAAGTATATGATTTATACTGAAGAGATGGAAAATGAAGAAGACAGAGATATGGTTATGTTGCATTTAGTCAGAAGAAACACCAAAAGCTTTTACGACCTTGCTAAGATTTACAAATCTGACAGAAATTGGTTCTATCGCGAAAACTTACCGATTTCAATGACACCGAATGAAGATGTGAAACAAATAGTTCAAGATACGTTACCTCAAACACACTATGATATGAAAGGTTGTACAATACTTACCTTCAAAGAAGATTTGCCATTGTTAAAGGAAAAAATAACAGAGTATTTTGACAACTTCAAACAAGTAGGGTAGATGAACCATTTATTTTTCAAGCTTGACTTTTTACAATTTGAACTTTGTTTGCGTAGATATGAATTCTGAAAGAAGTATGAGGGTCTTGTATGACTTTATACTTCTCCCAGAGTTCATGTCTGTCAAACTTACCTGCCATGGACTCTTTCATAAGTTCCATGAAATCGTCTTCGGACAATCCGGGGAAAAGTATAATGTCAGTAAGTATTCTTTTAACATCCTTACTTAAACTCTTGGCTGTCTGTACACATATTACGACTGAGATGTGAAAGTGTCTGAGCTTCTTAAGAATTCGACACATGTCTTGTTCTCTATTCTTTAACAAAGGATGAGAGGCGAAATCATCTAAGATAAGAAGACATCTATGAGGGTACGTTTTCCAATCGTACGATTGCAATTTCTTCGAAATGTATTCTATCTCTTTCTGTTTGTTTCTGAAGTGTTTCTTCTCTAATATTCTCTGCATTTCCTCATTTGGGTCTTTAAACTTCGAATTGACATACTCATTTATAGCATTATACTTCAAAACTCTTCTTTGGTACTTCTTTATCCAATCTAACAACTCAGTATCCTTTATACATACTAACTTAGACTTCTTTATAATATCTTTGAACGAATTGACGGTTTGGTCAAATTGACCAGAAGTACTATAAATAACAACTAACTCATAGAATGGGTTCTTCTCATCTAGTTCTTGTTGTTGTGCAGCCATTTTAAGATAAGTGAAAGTCTTACCAGACCCAGGTGGTGCAATTAGACCTGTTATACCATTCTGAGCAAATAAGAACTTGTCATGTATAGGCTTTATCTGAGCATTTTCTAACTTCCTCTTGTTCTTATTTAAAACATTCTCAAATTTCTTGTCAATGTCAGCAAACTTTTTTTCTAACATATTTTTAGAAAAATTAAAATTTTTATCTTTTAGAAAATGTCTAGCGATTTCGCTATCTATATTCGAGACAAACTTTTTGACAGCAAAACATCTGTCGACCATAAAATCTTACATAGTGTAAACAAGAAAGGTGAATTTGTTCTAAAGTTCTGTTTCTGGGAATATGACAAGAACCATAAAACATTACAAAGAGCAGTCTTAAAATTTGTCAATGACAGACTTGTTGACAGAGATGACGCCGATTGGAAAGATGAAGTCCAACAAAAGTTCTTAGAATGCAAAGAAGACACATGCGCTGTTCTTGAAGATGAAATAGAAAACAGAATAGAAGAGCTATTAAAGGACAAAGAACTTTTACATAAATATGGTTCGGAGAAATTTGACATAACTCCACCAGAAAAGAAGAAGAAAGAAAAGAAAGAAAAGAAAGTAGAAGAAGAGAAGAAAGAACCTGAACCAGTTCCAGAGAAAAAGAAATTTGACATGTAAAAATAAAATTTTATTTTTAGAACATTTCTGGGTCAATGTCAATGTTCTCTTCCTCTTTAGGAGTAAACACTGGCTTAGACTCTAAAATCTTTTTACCCAATTTACCTTGAACTTCAACTATCTTAGACTCATAATATTCATAGTCGTCTGCTTTCTTTGGTTCATAAGGTATAACAAGTTTGTATGCTTTACCTTCTTTAAGGTTTGAAAACCTTCTGTCAAAACTTTCTTTGACTGTTAACAAACCTTCTATGTCTAAGTCTTCAAATTTCGCACCATTTTTAGTCACAATAGCAAACTTAACTGGTTCGATGTTCCAAACTTTGTCAAATGTAGACTTTTCAAAATGGTAGAAGTAAACATTCAAATATGTGAATGGGTCTAGTTCTTCTTTAAGTCCTGACATGTACTTGTTGACTGAGATGAATTTCGTCATCTTTTCTATCGGATAAAAAAAATATTTTTTTAAAATTTACTCAGAAAAATTTTTCTTTGTATATACACCATTCTGTACGTCTAAAAGACTTTTGACATTTGCCAAGAATGTTCGTTTAGACGCTGTCATATAACCATACTCTTGGCAATATTGTTTATACGAATCGTACAATGACCTTTCATCTAAACACTCAAAGTCAGTTTCATCTATGAACAGTTCATATACACTCTTGTTTGCTTCTAACAATGTTTGTCTCTCTTCGGTATGTGGAATTTGTCTTGGATTGAACTTAGAAATATCTAATGTCATGAAATATGAGAACAAGTGGTTGTAAAAGTCAGATGTCAAAGTTTCTGCTAAGTCGTCAAAATATTCTGTATCTTGCATATGAGAATCTGACGTTCTGACAACTACATATCTTCTGTCAGAACTTTCTAACTTCATCGGAACAGCATTGTTTGAAACCATAATGAAGTTTGCAACATTTTCACAAACTCTTTGGTCTTTATACTTTCTTTCAACAACTCCAACTTTGTCTGTTATAAGACTCTTCAAAGCATCTGAGTTCAAAACTTTTGTTGTATCTATACTTTGAAGTTCATTGCAAACTATAAGTTTCATATTCTCTATTGAGGAGTTAAACTTGCCACAGATGTTTTCTAAGTTTGTCATATTCGGATTCGAATAACCTTCTAACAGTTTGCACAAGATATCTGTAAAGAATGTGTTCTTACCTGTTCCTTGTTTTCCAATTATAATGAGAGCAGTTTCATTTTTAGCACTTGGATGTTGTAAGATGTTTGCAAACCAACATAAGATATACTCATAAACCTTTTCGTTTCCATTGCATATAATTTCTTTGACATGGTCTAACCAAGCTTCTATAATATTTTCTTTCCATTCTACTTGTTCATATTTATATCCAGTGAAGATAGAATAGAAGTTTGGAGAAGGTGTATAAAACTTTATACCTCGAACTGAAAAATCTTCTAACTTTGACAATAAGATATCCCAAGCATCTAACATCTTCATTCCAACTTGTACAACTTTTATTTTCTTAAGTTTCTGTCTACATTCTTGTTCAGACACTATTGTTGCTCTTGGTTTGTTAAAGACAACATCCCATTCTTTCATGACATAACATTCTGGGGCAGAGTCAACATAAATGACTAAACGTTTCAAATTCTCGACTGCTTTGTTATAGTCTCTAAATGGACACATATTTCTGAATGCTTGGAAGTCATAAAAATCTGAAACATCTATTCTGTACATTTTTATAAAAATAAAAAAAAATATTATTTTTTTTATTCTTGACTTTGTTGTTCCATTTGTTGCATTTGTTGTTCTTGAGCTATTTGTTGTTGAAGTTGTTCTTGTAATACAATACTTTCACCAGTTGCATCTTCCAATTCGAAACTTTCTGCCGTCATTGACAAATACATAGGACATAAAAGTTTTACAGGAACAAAGTTTGCGTCAACTAATGTCAACGTTATACTTGCCAAAGTGTTTGAGTTCACTAAGGTTGAAAATTCTGCATTCGAATGAACAATAGGCAAACCAGCAGAGAAAGTATTGTTATACGCATAAGTATCTTTTGGTCATAATAGTTTCTGTCGACATTCGAATAACACTTTGAACCTAAGTTTGAAACAATATATAAGATTGGTGTGCTTAATGTCAATGGAATAGACATTCCTTGTATGACACCTTTTCCTGTTATAGGAAACTGTTGGTAGTAAAACCAGATATAAGTTTTGTATTATAGCTCATATCGTTTATAGTAAACTCAGTCGGACATCCAAACATAATGAAACCTGCTCTAGTTGCAGCACATGTTACACCCGTACTTAAAGTATTAAATAAGTCAACAAAACCTGTTGGTGGTATATCTGAGTAAGTATCTTCAAAGGAGTATTTTTTACCATTCACAACAATAAAATCTTCTGGTGTCAAAAGAGCAAAACAGGCTTTAGTCGTCATTGTGTTTAAGGTTAGTTTACAATATCATCCTTGAGGACTTTGTAAGTTTGTTGTTATAGAATTATATGACTCAGGGTTTTTAGTCGTAATAGTATAAACCATTATGTCTTCTGCCATTTATATATATTTAAAAGTTTTTCTGAAAGTGGAGAAGAACTTCATCTAAACTTTCACATGGCGTTTCTTGAAGTTCTCTGTCTAAGAAGTTCAAATATTTTGTAAAGACATAGAACTTTCCTTTGTCTACACGAACAAACAAAACAGGGTCTTTCATATCGTTCAAAAGTGTGTAAAGTCCTTTACATGAAATAAAGTCTATATTATTTTTCTTCAAACATCTTTCAAGAAGTTTTGACATTTTTACTTAGCAAATAAACTTTAATGAAATGTTGTGGTCGTCAAATATTTTTATAACGTCTGGGAAACTATATTTTAAGTTCAACGTTTCACCTCCTTTCATAACGTATATCTTGTCAATGGCATTATATGAAACACCACAGCAACTAATGTCGGGTTCTATTTCTTTGATGTTTATATCGTCTGCCTCTGTCAAAAGTTTCAATAGTTCTTTCAAAACTTCATGAGGTGCAATGACATATGAGTTCACTTTTACAGGTTGTGTGTTCGACCAAGTTTAACATTATACTTAAAGCTTGACAAATCTTCTCCTGAGTTTGAAGTTTGTCTTTCAGTTGTTGGTAGTCATTTCGAATATCTGCAACAGAACTTAAGTCTCTGCTAACTTCAGGATATGTTGGTTGTTCTTTTACAGGAACAATTGTTATACCATCTTCGTCTTCGTATGGTTTCCCCACTTCAACATCTCTGTCTTTGACATTGACAATAACACTTTGACTGTTTGTTTGAGTTGGTGAATTTAACTTCACATCTGCCACCGCCATTAAACCTTTTGAAACACTTACGCTTCTATTTTTCGGAAATGACACTTTACTTAGAATAAAAAGATGGACGTATTCGGATATCTCTTTGAATTGAAGCAAAACAAAGTTTACACACACAAACAATACAAATACATTGACAGAATAGTTCTTTATACAAACAATGGTAAATGTTATAGAATAGCAATATTTGCTGAACCAAAATATTTTCATAAAGCAAAGAAAGTTGGTATAACCGAAATGGTGAAAGTTCTTGAAGCAGACAAAAATATAACTTCAAAACTGACCGATATTACTAAAGGAAAGTTTATAATACAATATTATGTCAAAACTGGCGTACTGTCAATATTTGACGGAGAGAAGTCAGTTCAAGAACAACTTACTGACCTGCTGCCAAAATCTGCTCGATGGAAGCTGTCGTTATGCCAATCTGAGGAGCCCCAGCAGGTTTCATCGAACGAATCTTCAAAAGAGCATCTTCCGTGAAAAGTGCTATTGGTTTTGTAAACTTCTTTGCTTTCAATTCATCTGGACCGTCTCTGTCACCAGTATATTGTATTTGTACAGTACCAACAATTGAAATACCACCCATAAAGTCTTCTGAGTCAGCAAATGGAATGCCAAGCCAAAAGTTTGAACGGTCTCCATTTGTATATTGAGTTTTTTGACCTCCTGTATGAGTCCATACTTTCACATATGGCATAATAGAACTTTGCATTTCAGGGTTAATGGTTGTTGTGAAGTTGTTGTTAAAGTTCATAGCATCTAATGTCAAGTTGTATGACCTCATATCCTCAACTGTAGAATATTCTTCTCTTGGATAATATTTGCCATCTATGTTTATATGATATTTAATACCAGGGTTGTAGAAACAAGAATAGTCATTTATAGTTCGTCTGAACAGTACAAACATAGTATCTGCATGTTTCATTGCAGTTGTTAAAGCAATATCTGTTCTTGCACCTGGGTCAGCACTTTGGTTTCCAACTTCACCTGCAAAGTCTTTGACAGATATTTGGTGTATAGGGAACATAAGTGGAACTGCAATATATTTGGCAGCTAAAGCATTTGAAATATCTGGGTCCAACATATAAACGGCAAGTCTGCTTTCTATTCTCTTGCATTCAAACTTTTCGCATGTGAACTTAACTGGGTCCCAAGCATCTCCAGCAGCATTGAAATAATAGTTTACTTCATTGTTGAAGTTTGAGAAACCAAAGTCTAAGTCAACTTTGTCTTTGCAAAATTCGGCGAATGATGTTTTATTTGTTCCCTTTACGTCTGTAATAGTGAATGGGTCTTGTGTTGGTGCAATGACTAAGTTATTTTTGCTTGGAGTAAGTTCGATAGAAATTTTTCCTGCCCAGTTTGGCAAGTATCTTAAAAACCTGAAGATGAGGAAAGATGACAAAGGAACTCTAAGTTTCAGTTTTACTTTAGTGGCAGCATTTCCATCTGAACCAGAAAGGTTAACATAAACTCCTGGAACGTTAGGGTCAAGTCTTCTTATTTTCTCAATATTTGCATACTGGTCTGTTTGTTCTCTAGCTTGTGGTTGTACTGAGTTTCTCAAAGCGAACCATTCATAGTTTGCCCATGTTACTGTTTGAACTAAGTCAGAGTTAGAATATATCTTATATCCCATGAAAACTTCTGGAGCATATTGGTATCCGACATAGAAAATTCCATTGCAACCTTTCTTGTCAGACAACTTGGCAGAAGGTTTTATTTCAATGTCTTGTTCCACGTATAAGAATGAGTTGTCAATAGAAATAATATGAAACCTGTCGCAAGCAATATCTACTGTTGTTGAAGAACCTTCTCCAAACTCACCTACGTTTCCATAAGAAACAGCAGTTGTATATTCGTAAGTTCCAGGAACTATTTCTGACCTTCTAATGGCATTGTCGCATTCGTTATACCATTCGGAAACATTTCCGTTCATGGCATCCAAAACTGTTGGCGTTATATTCTGAGCGGCGTACATTTCATATGGGTAAAAATATAGAATAGTTGGATTTATGTGTCATAATAGAACCCACTCGTACCAAGCTTTACTTTCTTCCTGACTGAGTTTTTAACTCTTCTTTTTCCTTCATTGCCACTACTTTCACTAGATGAAGTTACTTCTTCACTACTTTCACTTTGTTCTACTCTTCTCTTCTTCTTTGGTGTCGCTTTTGGTAACTTGCCCTCTGCTTCAAGTTGTTGCATCTTTGCCTCATGTTCACCTAGTATGTTGTAAATTTCCCATGTCCTTTTTGCCTTTGGGCTCTGGTCGCCCATCTCAGGTAACCTATATCCTAGAAAGATTTTGTCATAGTTTGTATTTGAGTCTTCGCGTATTGTTTGCATGACTCTTTCCTGAGTTTCCGGTTCAAGCTCTTCAAACAGAGCTTGTCCATATGGAATAAGCTCGTTTCCAAATATATGTTTTTGTAGCCATTCTGGTTTTCTTTCCATGTAACCAATAATATCTTTTGTGAATGGGAAAGCTTTTACCCAACGTTTCAGTCTTGCGTCGTTTATTTCTGTAGTTGGTTTTATTTTGTCATGGAACATGTTTTTTCAATACTAACATTTCATTTGGTACTGTCCATTTGAGTTTTCTTAAATATTCATCCATTCTCGGTTCATTGTCTGCAAAGTAAGTTTTTATGACATTTTGCAAACTTTCGTTTGCAAGGTCATGTACAATAGGTTCTCTTCCTTCTCTCTCCCTAACTTTCTTTCTAAACTCTTCACCAAATATACCATCTCTATGGTTCTGTGTAGTTCTTTGAGATAAATGTTCTAGAACGTCAGGTGTTATATTTCCCTCGGCCATGTTCATTTCATACTGGTCCAAAATATCTGCATGTTTCATATCTTTCAATGGCATTAAAGCCGCGCTGAAAATACCAGCTATATCTGGTTCACCATTCACTTCCATTGCGTCTACAACTTCTTGGAATTGTGGTTGTAAGTTTATGAACCACCTATCCGGATTAGCTTTATGACCCCATCTCATTGTAGTTCCATAGTCTGCAGAAACAAAAGTAGGTTTGTTTCCATATTGGCTAGGTTCTGAATGAACTTTAAACAATGTTTCATTTCTATATGTTTTGTTGAAATTTAACCTTTTATTTTCACCGAGTTCAGCCAAAGATTGAACGTTATATGGTCGTAAGTAAAAAGGATTATTGTATTTGCGTACATTTTCTTTCAGTACTTCCATTCTATGCTGAATATTTTCATCTGATGTTGGAGTCTTTTGTATGTCGGCGAACATTTTTCGATATTCTTCTACTATGTCAGCCGAATTTTTCTTAGACTCTTGGAAAGATTCCATATTCTCCGCATACACTTGTTGAGGGTCAAGATTTTTCGGCTGTTCCAAATCTTCATCTAGTTCTGTGAAGTTAGTTTCCAAATGAGGGACTTGTTCGTTTCCTTCAGGCTCTTCTAGCTGTTGTTGCTGAACTATTTCTTCCATGTCTGGTTGTATCTGAACTTCTTCCTGTTGAGTTTCTTGTACCTCATCTGCTGGCATTTCATATATTCCGAGACCGTTTTTAAAAAGTTCCCTATCTAAGTCATCCGGACTCATAAACCTTTCTTCTTTCGTTCCGTCTCTATTTTTTACGCGTTTCATGAAGAGAGTTGAATTATCATTTAGCTCTGACATCAAATATCTCGGAGTAAATTCATCCATGTCATTTGGATGATATGCTATTAAATCATATCCCTTAGCGAGCTTGTATTTTCCAGGTTTGAAATTATATCCCATTTGGTGCTGAACCATAAAGCTAAATAGGTTCGGGTCAGTATTTCCTTCCTTGAACTTTTTAATAGCTTCTTTATATCTGTCACTAAAGTCAAGAGTATCTGGGTAACCATAATCTTCCTTAAGCATTTTTAAGAATTCTTGGTTTCCTTGTTCTCTACTTCTTTTATGTCCTTGCTCTGTTTGTGGTTGTTGTTGTGCAGGGTTTTGAACTGTTGGTTGTTGTGTAGTGTTTTGAACTGTTGGTTGTGGTGCTGGATTTTGAACTGTTGGTTGTTGTGTAGTGTTTTGAACTGTTGGTTGTGGTGCTGGATTTTGAACTGTTGGTTGTTGTTGTTGTTTTGGTGCATGCCTGTGTCTGTGTCCATGTGACGATGTAAATGTTTTAGGTAGTCCTGGTGCAGGTGCTTCTCTTGGAGGGTTTGGTGGTATATAAGTTCCACTAGCTAGTATATAAGTTCCACCAGCTGGTATATAAGTTCCACCAGCTGGCACATATGTTCCATCTGCAGCATAATGTCCTACCTGACTTTTCGTTCTTAAGAAAGCATTTACTAGGTCTGTTTTGGTCTGTTGTAACTCTTTTTCTTGACTTTCCACAACAGTTGCTCTAACGGCGTCATAGGCACTTTGAACTGCCTGTCTCGTTGCTGCATCTGTTATTTTCGTCATATTTTGTGCTACTTCTCTTAACTCTTTGTCGAAACCTTCAGACTTCAGTTTCTTTCCAGATGAGAAGTCGTTCACTAGTTTCACCTTACTATGAAGAGCTTCGAAGGCATTCTTAAAGTCAGCATTCATTAAAGCTTCATTTGAACTGTCTTCATCCGCTTGTATTTTTGTCCTTATTGACCCTATAAGTTGGGCTGCTTTAGCGTTGGCTTGGGCATCTAACCAGTCATTATTAGCTTTTATAATATCTGCGCTTTTCATTGCCTTTTGCATGGCTGCGTCGTTATTTTTACTTTCTTGTACTAAGTTTTCATACTGTACGGTTTGGTTTTGCAACTGTAAAAGTTTTTCTGCCTTTACATTTGCTTCAACTTCTTTTTTATACTCATCGCTATCCATATATGTCTTCAGGGCTTTTTGTTTTATTTCTTCATCTTTCAGTACTTTATATTGAGTAGTATGGTTTTTCAAATTTATAACATCTTGTTCCATTTTTGCTACTTCTGCTGCTTTTTCTGACACTTTTTTCGCATATTCCTCTGTACTTAGTTCTTTCAGTTGTTCTTCTTTCTTCTTTTTCTCTACGTTTAACTCATTGAGTTTCTTTGTGTGTCTGTCATATTCTAGTTTCTTTTCGTTTTCGCTTATTTGTTTCTGTATGTCTATGTTTGACTTTTTGACATCTGTTATTTGATTTTTGAGTGAACTCAAATTCATTTGACTTTGAGGGTTATAAGCTGTTCCGTCTGCAGCTCCACCATAGCCTGCCATTTTCGCTAAAAGTGCCGCTCTTAAACCTCCACTCTGTGCACCAATAACTCGGTTTAAAAGCATAGGGTTGCTTGACATTTGTTGCAACATAGTGGGGTCATTCATCATTTGTTGTTGCAACTGTGTTGTGGTGTCAGTTTTACTATTGGATGTTTCAATGCTCCCTTCCTCTTACGTATATTCTTACGTAGCTTACGTGGCATTTTAAGTGAAGTAAAAAAGCGGTTTTTGACAGATGTTTATATGACACTTTTTGTTCAGCACAAAAAACTACTCGGTCAAAGTGTTGTCAGTTTTGTAAAATAACCGTCCTATCTCATTCTATAAGGGGGAAAAGGCTTCTCAAGACATTCAAGATTCAGAATATACCGAATAAAAAAAAACAATTTAAGACTAAAAATTTAATTTTATTATAATATTTTTATTTTTTTCATCTGGTCTTTGTATCATTCCTCCTCTAGTTTCTCCGGGGCTAGAGGGCGCAACGCGCCTGGAAGCCCCGCTTACCTGACCTAAATAGCATTAGTATATAATAAATAGATATATTATTCATATTTTTGATTTTGAATTACGGAAAAAGTGAGTTCAGAACTTCCAATTATTATTTGATTAATTATGTTAAAAATACTATAAGGAATTAAAATACATAATGTTGAAATTTGAATTACGGAAAAAGTGAGGGTGAAAGTGAAGTGAAAAAGTAAGATATTTTTTGTTGAAATAATCATAGTTGTACAATTTTGAAACTATATGTAAAGCTATAAATTGAATAAATTCAAAAACAAAAATTGTTTATTCTTATTAATAAATTTATATTAATCAATATTTGAACAACCCGTAATTAAAATTGAATTCCTCTTAAAATTTAATCCATACGTTAATTTTTAATTTGCTCGGCGAATGCCGAGCTTCCCTACTTCTCTTGTCATTCCTTCAAAAACTCTAATCTCATCGCACTTACAAACATCATGATTTGATGTATTGTCGAGAAATCTTAGACTTGTTTGTCATTTGATTATAGCATTTGAAAGTCATCTCGAAAATCGATTAACAAGACAATTTCCCAAACATCTACATACAAGTAGATGATGGTAAACCCATTAGTGTTGTTTTGCTATGATTCCTCCAATCTTATGATGAGAAAAATCATATCAAAACAGCTCTAATCGAACATTCTACACAGCTTAGCATCCAGCTAGTTCCAAGTAATGCGATTACAACATCAACGGCAAAGCCTTTCAGAGTCCTTTAATCATTTCTTCTCATCTCAATGTGAAGTGGCCCCAAACGAACTACAAGCTGACGTTACAACGCATTACAGCCCGGTTAATACGAGCATATACATTAGAGCTGCTTTGTTATGATCTCCCTCATCAATTGATGAGAGATCTCATTATGAAGCAGCTCCAATCGAACTAAAAACCTACATACAAATGAGTGAAAACAAACTCATTAGAGTTGTGTTGCGTTGATTTCTCTCATCAGAAGATGAGAGATACCAGAACAAAACAACTCTAATCAAACTTTCTACACAACTCAGCACAGTATCAATGCAAAGTAATGCGTCTGTATCGTTAACAAGCAAAGTTGTTTCGGGTCCTTCCATTTTGGAAGAATTCGGAACAACCTTGCGAATTGATAGTGTAAACCCATATACATGAAAGCGTGCATGCATAAAGACAGGTATTGTCAGCAATGACTACCTGCCCAGCTATGAGTGATCAGAGAATTACCATCTCAGGCTTTTTGCGAACGTTTCAGCCAGGACCCTCGTATGTTGACTGTGAGAAAGGCATCCTTTATCTGAAATAGATGCTTTTCCAACAATCAAATTCGAAGATCTTCGACGTTGTTGTAAAAAGAGAAGGAGAAAAAAAGAAGAGGAAGGAGAGGAAGAAGGAAAGGAAAAGAAGAAGAAGAAAAAAGAAAAAAAAAAGAAGGACATATTAAATATAATGCGCACTTAATAGTGCCGAGGCGCGATTTTTTTGACCCTATATTACCGCACGGCAATGTTTTTCTCGATTTTGTACAGCCCTAATGAATATAATCAAAATGAGTTGTAGATTTATTTATATCTACAACCCATTTTTATACTATGAAAATGCAGAAAATCATATAAATTTTTAATTTAAACACTTGGAAAATTTTTTGCAGAATACTCAAAACACGTTATAAACAGATAGTTTATGATTATTTTTGCTCGAAATACCGATTACCATTTGAAACGAAAATATCCATAAGAAAATGAATTAATATTCAAGTTATTTCTAATCTATAGGCCAAATCAATAAAGGGGAACATTACTAAATAGCTCACATATTAAAAATATATGCTTTTTTTATTAGTTACGTAGTTTAGGAATTTAGTTTGGAACGATCTTTGTACCACGCTCACCCTTGAGCGCCTGAAGGGCGCAATCGAGAGCTGTGATAACAGCTGGCTTGCCAGTGGACTTAACGAAGCGGAGGCAGGCCTGGACCTTTGGAAGCATTGAGCCTTTGATGAAGTGGCCTTCTTCGATGTACTTCTCCATTTCAGCAACTGTAGCCTGGCGAATTGCTGTTTCATTCTCCTTACGGTAGTTGAGGAGGGCTTTTGGAACATCTGTAAGAATCATGAAGGCATCAGCGTTTGTTGCGGCAGCGAGAACTGAAGCACCAAGATCCTTGTCGATAACGGCATCAACACCCTTGATTCTGTTCTCCTTCTCATCGAGCATAACTGGGATGCCACCGCCACCAGAGCAGACAACGATGAAGCCGGTGTTAACGAGAGCCTTGATAGCTTCCTCTTCGACGAACTTCTGTGGGACTGGGGATGGGACGATCATTCTGTAGCCACGGCCAGCATCTTCGACCATGTTGTAGCCACGTTCCTTGATGAGGAATTCAGCCTCTTCCTTGGAGTAGAATGGGCCGATTGGCTTTGTTGGGTTCTGGAATGCAGGATCCTTTGGATTAGGGATGCGACGGTTTTACACCATGACCGTTTAAAAATAGAATAATACGCCATTCGGCCGAATAACAAAACAATACAAAATTATCGCCGTCCTTTTTTTTCTTTCTTTTTATCTCTTTTTTTCCTCTCTCTCTCTCTCTTTCTTTTCTCTTTCCTCTTTTTACTCCTCTTTCTCTTTTCATCAATAAACGTAGAAAGATATATTAATATTATTTTAAAATTAAAAAAAATAAAGAAAGTATAATAAGTAATTATTTAGTTATCGATATATATATGTAAAGTGATAATCTGAGGATAATCTGAGGAGGAGTCTGAGGATTAGACCGAGGAGTAGTTTGAGGAGTTTGATGATAATCTGAGGAGTTTGAGGAGTAGTCTGAGGAGTTTGAGGATAATCTGAGGAGTTTGAGGATAATCTGAGGAGGAGTTTGGGGAGTAGTTTGAGGAGTTGTCTGAGGAGTTTGAGGATAATCTGAGGAGGAGTCTGAGGATTAGACCGAGGAGTAGTCTGAGGAGTTTGAGGATAATCTGAGGAGTAGTTTGAGGAGTAGTTTGAGGAGTAGTTTGAGGAGTAGTCTGAGGAGTTTGAGGATAATCTGAGGAGGAGTTTGAGGAGTAGTTTGAGGAGTAGTCTGAGGAGTTTGAGGATAATCTGAGGAGTAGTCTGAGGAGTCTGAGGATAATCTGAGGAGGAGTTTGAGGAGTAGTTTGAGGAGTAGTCTGAGGAGTTTGAGGATAATCTGAGGAGTAGTCTGAGGAGTCTGAGGATAATCTGAGGAGGAGTTTGAGGATAATCTGAGGAGGAGTCTGAGGATAATCTGAGGAGGAGTTTGAGGATAATCTGAGGAGGAGTTTGAGGATAATCTGAGGAGGATTCTGAGGATAATCTGAGGAGGAGTCTGAGGATTAGACCGAGGAGTAGTCTGAGGATTAGACCGAGGAGTAGTCTGAGGATTAGACCGAGGAGTAGTCTGAGGATTAGACCGAGGAGTAGTCTGAGGATTAGACCGAGGAGTAGTTTGAGGATAATGTGAGGAGGAGTTTGAGGAGTAGTTTGAGGAGTAGTCTGAGGAGTTTGATGATAATCTGAGGAGTTTGAGGAGTAGTCTGAGGAGTAGTCTGAGTAGTCTCAGGATTAGACCGAGGAGTAGTTTGAGGAGTAGTCTGAGGAGTTTGAGGATAATCTGAGGAGTAGTTTGAGGAGTAGTCTGAGGAGTTTGAGGATAATCTGAGGAGGAGTTTGAGGAGTAGTCTGAGGAGTAGTCTGAGGAGTTTGAGGATAATCTGAGGAGGAGTTTGAGGAGTAGTTTGAGGAGTAGTCTGAGGAGTTTGAGGATAATCTGAGGAGGAGTTTGAGGAGTAGTCTGAGGAGTTTGAGGATAATCTGAGGAGTAGTCTGAGGAGTTTGAGGATAATCTGAGGAGGAGTTTGAGGATAATCTGAGGAGGAGTTTGAGGATAATCTGAGGAGGAGTTTGAGGATAATCTGAGGAGGAGTCTGAGGATAATCTGAGGAGTAGTTTGAGGATAATCTGAGGAGGAGTCTGAGGATTAGACCGAGGAGTAGTCTGAGGAGTAGTCTGAGGAGTTTGAGGAGTAGTCTGAGGAGTTTGAGGATAATCTGAGGGGAGTCTGAGGATTAGACTGAGGAGTAGTTTGAGGATAATCTGAGGAGGAGTCTGCGGATAATCTGAGGAGGAGTTTGAGGAGTAGTCTGAGGACTAGTCTCAGGACTAGTCTGATGAGGAGGACTCTAAGGAGTAGTCTGAAGAGTAGTCTCAGGAGGAAGATCTGAGGAGGAGTCTTATGAGGAAGATCTGAGGAGTAGTCTGATGAGGAGGGGTCTAAGGAGTAGTCTGAGGATGATGAGTAATCTGATAAGGAGTAGTCTGAGGATGATCTGAGGATAACATGATGACTAGTCTAGGAGTGGTCTAATAAAAATGTAAAATATTTTCAAAGAAAAAATTCTATGAATTTTATATTTTAATTCTTAGCATTATACTGAATAAAATAAACATAAATATCAAAATTTGAAATTGAACACGCCAAAAAATTGATAATCCACATTCAATATTTTGTAAGTGGCGTACTTTTTGAATACTCGCCATACGCCTTGGAGTTCTCAATTTTGAATTCGCCTTTATTTGGGCGACCTCAGAAAAATACGCCATTAAGAAAATATTGTATGAGATTTTAAATTTGAACACGCTCTACCTTAAGGAATTAAATTTATTAAGATATATTTATATATAATAAACGATTACTTAAAAAAAGTATTTCATCGCTTATGTAAGTTTCAAAATAATCACGAAAATAAAAAAATCAAGATTAAAATTTTATTTTTAATTTTTGAATTTCTCAAATGGCGAAATTTTTGGGCGAACAAAAAAATGTACGCCCGGTCAAATGGCGTGTTTAACGCATCCCTACTTTGGATCAACAAAGGACTGTGTAACAATGGAAACAACCTTCTTGTCGATACCTTCGGCACGAAGAGCACCATCGAGTTCCTGCTGAAGAAGCTTGCCGAGGAAGCCTTGTGTTTCAGCACCGCAAACGTGGAGTGGCATAGCTGGAACTTTCTCCTTTTCACCAGCAACGTTCTGGAGGAAGATAGCGCCACACTGTGGGCCATTGCCGTGAGTCATGACAAGTTCGTTGCCATCCTTGACGATCTTAACGATCTGGGACATAGCAAGACGGCAGGCAGCCTGCTGATCTTGGAATGTTCCCTTCATACCACGCTGAAGAAGAGCGTTGCCACCAAGAGCTACAACAATCCTCATTTAAAAGTGATGTTATCCGTTTCAATCAAATTTCATCGTCAAAACAAAAACGATGAAATCATTCAATTTCATCTCAATCATAACACATCTTCAATATATTCAGAATAGTATTTTAAGCCAAAAACGAAAGCTATTATTTTGAGCTAAAAGGTGACAATTCTCCTAATTTGAATGTCGAATTGATTCGTAGAAAGATAGTTTCTTTTCGTTCGTCTTTCGAAAATCAGTTGATGATCTCCATGGTATCTTGATACTTCAGGTATTGTTTTATTTGGGAAAATCGGACATTTGATATCTTAAATAATTTTTAAAACTGAGGCATTGAACTGAGATCAATATCGAATAAGTAAATATCATCAAAAATCCATGATTTTATAAAAATTGAAATTTTATTATTCTTTTCTCAATATGGGAAGCCTCACTATGCCATTAACCCAGTGTAGTTAAATTAAAGTAAAAATTGAACATTTGACCGGAAGTTTTCTAATTTTCGAATTGTCGTTTTCACGCTGGAAAACAATCTTGCTAGATATAGTTTAGCAGAATGAAGACAAATCAGGATATCTATCATTTCTATTCAGAGTGTGGGACAAACTATCCAGTGTCACTTTTTTATTAACCTTATTTTAAAAAATTAATAAAATAATAATAAAAAATTATTTGAATCTTTTACATTAATTGTTTCTTTTTTAAAAGTACCTTTAAAGTACAATAAACAAGATTTGAATCTATTGATCCTTGTTGCAAACTTGAATATATTGCTTCAAGCATTTTTGAGAGTAGCCCATGCTAGCTTTTATCTCTTCTTGGATACCAAACTGGAGGAGCTCCATAGTGTTGAATATCACGGGCTCCATACAACAAATTGAATAAGGTATTTCAAAATTTGAAGGAAATGGTCCATCATTGAATGTAGTGGCCGGGAATTGAATGACATACAGATAGTTTGAGGAAATTTGTTATAAATTATAATATAATTGAAGAATTAATTATCAAAACAATTCTAAGAGCCATTTGTCAGATTTTCCCGAAATGCAAGGTTAAGATTTTAGCAGCGACTAACTTTGAGTGTACATATATAATTGTTATACTGAGTACTTTCTATCTGTGTTACTTATTTGAGTCTAAGAGCCATTTGTCAGATTTTCCCGAAATGCAAGGTTAAGATTTTAGCAGCGACTAACTTTGAGTGTACATATATAATTGTTATACTGAGTACTTTCTATCTGTGTTACTTATTTGAGTCTAAGAGCCATTTGTCAGATTTTCCCGAAATGCAAGGTTAAGATTTTAGCAGCGACTAACTTTGAGTATACATATATAATTGTTATACTGAGTACTTTCTATCTGTGTTACTTATTTGAGTCTAAGAGCCATTTGTCAGATTTTCCCGAAATGCAAGGTTAAGATTTTAGCAGCGACTAACTTTGAGTGTACATATATAATTGTTATACTGAGTACTTTCTATCTGTGTTACTTATTTGAGTCTAAGAGTCATTTCTACCATAGAACTAGATATTGTCTCTCATTAAATATATATAACTGTAAACTGCTTAATTCATTTATCTATTTAGATAAAATTATATTTATATAAGATTTCATGTTATTATTTCATCTTTATTATTTTTTTTATTCCTTTGAAAAGTGACACTGGATAGTTTGTCCCTTTCTCTTCTATTCAAAATATGTTAGACTAGTCTTTTTCCCCTTCAATTTCCAAAAAAAATTCAGTTTTCCAGATATTTATATGAGTTTGCATGCCATATATCATAATTATGTAATTTGAACAAACTATAATTGAATAAAAGTTATCGTTAAATTGAAAATAATTATTTTCGAAATCTTTATATTACTTGAATTCATAGTTATCTTCATTTTATGACTGAACATCCAATACTCAGAAAAAATTGTGATAATAAAATCAGTTGAGTTTATAAAAAGAAAAATTCTATTTCGCCATATGTACAGTAAATGTTTCATTTTAGAGTGTCTCTGAAAATTGAATACTAAATAAATCATTTGAGAACTTTAGGGACCAGCACCAATTTTCCGAGGGGGATTCAAAAATTTTCACTAAAATTTATGCTTGAGCAAATTGCTCCTGTTCAAGCAACCTTTTCAAACGATGTAAATGACATTTTTCATGACCGTAGACTGAGTGACTTGTTACCAGCAGATTTTATTCGTCAAATAGGCTTTGATCCAGATCAATACATATTTCAAACAACACCACAATCTAGAATGCGTCGCCGTAGAACAGAGCCAACACTTACTTTGTTTGATCCCGCTCCAGTTCCTTCAAGGAGGCGTTCCGAAGTAACGGATATCATGTACGGACAGATGAACATGGCTCAAGGACAGTCATTAATCGCTCAATTACCACAAATGCCACCAGGAACCAAGTTCTACTGTTATGAAGTCAGATTATCCGATTTTATTATTCACGCATATTCTTTCCAACAACTTAACTGGGAAAAAGGTTCAGGTGTCTTTATTAGAGATGGAAGATATATCAGATATGGCCAAATTACTAAAAATCTCCAAATAAAAGATACTGATCCGAATGCTCTTCAGATTGTTGGACAAGATATCAAAGGCGCTGTAGGTGATTTCATTTATGGCGTTAATCAAATCGCACAAAAAATCGTTCCAAACTTAATACTCCAGTCAGGATCAAAAGTGAAATTTATTTCAGTCGAAATCGTATCTTATCAAGCAAGATCACTAATTCGAGTTAAAGTTACTAATGCAGACGATCCTTACCTCTTATACGTAATGCAAAAACTTATATATATATTTGGACCTCCAGTCGAGGTTTACGATGACCTAAGTGCTTGAGTTCTCTATCCTTTCTTTCTTTTAAAACTTTCTATTCTATTCCAATACAATTTTCTTTTTCAATTTGAAACCAATTCATTTAAGTACAATTAATCACTGAAATATATACACATTATGGTTATATTTAAGGAGCTTTTCTACTGAAAAGATATTTTAAAAAAATTAAAATAAACAATTGTTTTCAAATATCTAAAATAAAATTCCATATAAACAAATTTATTAAAGAGTAATACATAATTCATTTAGTTTAAAGCAAAGATGAATCAAGCAATGATTGTGTGGATGTCTGGACTGTGAAGTTCTGTTGGAACTTTGTAAGATATGGGAGCATCTGTTCTCCGAGCCAGTTTGGTGTAGCTGTTGGGTTCTGTTCAAGGAACTTCATGAGGTAGTATGTGAAGATTCCTTGCTCCTTACTTTCAACCTGTGTCTGCTTAGCTGTTTGCTTATCCTGAGCAGCTGAGATTGAAATGCAATTCTGTGGTGAATCTGACTTGTTGAGATCCCAAATTGTACCAGAGTGGCAGCAATCTGAAAGAAGGATAACCTTAAGATTTGCATTTGTCTTGTATTGAACCAAATGCTTTTGAAGGGTATCATCTGGTGTGCACTCAACTTGAGAACCGTTTTCGAAAACGTAGGCTTCATTCTTTGAGTCGTTTTCTTGTCCATCACCGCCATCAACTTGAGTACCGTGGCCTGTGTAATATGTAATCAATTCTGACTTTGTGTTAGCAAGGAAAACATCAAGCCATTCTAAGTACTGGGCTTGTGTTGGGTTGTGAAGGAAGAAAATAGGCCACTTTTTAGCAGCCATTGCTTCAGCTACGTTAATACCATCATTCATTGGACCAACACCAAGTGTGATTTGCTCACTAACGTATGTATTAATGCAGATGAAAACTGCCTTATCAAGATTTGAAATACTTGACTTGGAGGCCTTTGAAAGGTCTGTACCAAGAGTCTTAGCGTTTTCAAGATGAGTCTGAACATCACCTTCAAGACGAGCGTTATTCCATTCATCAAGTGAGAAGTTCATGCCAAGCTTGCTCATTAAAACACGGGCAAGAAGTGTAACAATTTGGTTTCCTTTGAAGCAGGAGAGGATGTTTCCCATTCTTAGAATGTCAAAAAAATACGTTAGTGATAGCCTTTTGAATAAAACCGTTTCCTTAAGGCTAATAACGGATAAAATCTTGGCAGCAGATATATTAATATTATTTATATTGTAACATTTTTATGATTAACTCTTAATTCTCTCAAAAGAGAATTTACTATCGTTCATTGCTTTGAAAGTTCACTAGTCGTACCTGGAAGACTTATTTAACCATACTGTAAAGCTCTAAGGCCTTGCATTAGAATTCTATAACAGACAGCATAGTATTGCATTTAGGTTCTAATATTTTATTTTTTTAATTAAATATTTGCAAGTAAACACCACTACAGTTGTTAAGTTTCATTTTTGTTCAATGCATATTTATTTTATGAACAAAGTAACTCTGTATCATACTTTTTTTTAATATTTTTTTATATTTGGTTACAATAATATGATTGATTACAACATATCATTTAAACATATTTAATGATTGAAAACCACGCAAATCAGGATTAATATTATTTCATATGTGGAATAAAAGTTGGAATTAGCAATTTGCACCTGTATCCTTTGGACACTTTAGTATTGTGATTATTAGAAGTTTTAGGTTCTATTCAAAATCGGATTCAATTATCGAGTAATTGCTTATCAGATAAATCAATTTTATTTAGCGCTGTGAATCAAAATAAACTATTAATTTTAACCATAAAAGGGTTTTAATTTTGAAAAGAAATGTAAAAATTGCAAAAAAAGTCAAAATGACGTGAAATATATTATTTAAAAATGATTGATAGTAGATATTTTGAATGAAATGAATCGAACATTCATCTTCAGTAAAGTATTCAATTTTTTGAAACAAAATTGATCAAGATCATAGATGAAGAAACAGTTACATTTTCTAATTTTACTTTGGATTTTTTTTGAGAAGTGTAAATGAAAATTCAGTATCTTTCAAAATGTGGTTTGAAAGAATATTAATTGTTATTTTATTCTAATCTTTTTATTTTCAAATTAATGACCATACAAAATTTTATTTGTCAAAATTTGAAAGAATAGAAGATATTTTAGACCTAAAACAATCCTCATATTACCAGAATTTTATTTTTAAAAATACCCATATAAAATTGTTTGAATTGAATTTTTACACCTTAGACACTTTTATTAACAATTATGGACACTGATGAATTTTCTAGTAGTTTTGAAGAATTAACTGCCAAAATTCAAGAAGATATATCAACACTCGCTATGTCCATTGAAAATAGAGATTTGAATATCGATGAAATCACTCAGAGTATAAATGATTTAAATATAATGCTAGATAACGTTTTAGTTAGCTGTGATAACCCGAATCTTTATTCTCAATTTGCTAATCTCAAAGAACAAATAAATGAAATGGTCGATAATTATATTTCTGAACTTGAAAATGAAGTGAATGAAGAAGAATCTCAATTAGGAGAAGTTCCAGAGGACGGTTTAATTACTGATAATGATCAAAATGCAAATAATACCGAATTAAATAAATCAAATGATCAAAATGAAGATCTCGAAAATGATTTACCGCCTGGAAATCAAAATGAACCAAACAGTGCAGAGGATTCGATGCTCAAAATACAATGTCATATGATAGAACTTGCAAAACTTATCGAAAACAAAGAAACGCCAATTGAAGAAATTCTAGAAAAATCCAACATATTAAATTCAGAAATAGGCGAGGCAATAATCCAAAGCTATGATCAAAACGAAAAAGATAAGCTATCTTATTTACGAAATGAAGTTAATGATTATGTTGATAAGTTTATTACAACAACAAGCGAAATATTAGAGCATCCAACCAGCTCTGAAAGTGATACAGAAAAGAATACTTTAAATGAAAACAACGAAGAAAAGATAATTAGCGAAAATCAGATTAAAGTTGAAGAAAATAAATTAGATAGTATAGATGATGGTTATGACAATGTTAAATCAAATATAGAATCCTTAATCAGATCTTTAATTTCAGAATGTGACATCGAAGACATTAAAAATCAGTGTGATTCTGTTAATAGTGCAATTGACGATTACATCAACAAGAGCGACGACACCAACCGCTGCATGGAGCTTGCTAATCTTAAGGAAGAGATCAACCGCCAAGTCGATTCTTATGTTACAGCATACGAATCTGCTCTTTCCTCGGAAGCACAGTCAGACGGTGTTGAGTTATCCACCGCTCTTTCCGACGAAGAGCGTGTCGAACCAGCAGAAGGCTCATCCTCTGTTGTCAGTCGCGATCTTGACCTTAGTGGTGTTGAAGGCAGTTCACTTGAGTCTGATATCCAGTCACTTCTTGCCGCTCTTGAAGAAGGCGATTCTGACCGTGTTGAAGAGATCAGCAATCTTGCTGCATCTGTCAACGCATCTCTTGACAACGCTATTGTCAACAGCGAAGATCCATCCGAAGCCGCCTCTCTTAGTGCAGTTAAGGATGATGTTAACAAGCGTGTTGACGAATTCCTTTCATCAGTCGAACGCGACTTATCTGGCATTGCCGTTGAGGAAGAGGAAGAAGCCTCTCCAGCAGAAGGCGAATCTGCCCTCGTCGAAGATGTTGCAGTTGCCGAAAAGGCTGCAGAAGAAGCTGCAGCCAAGCTTGCTGAAGCTGCTGCTGCCAAGGAATCAGAAGAGAAAGCCGCTGAAGAGAAGCGCCTTGCCGAAGAACAAGCCGCTAAGGAAGCCGAAGCACAGAGAGCTGCCGACGAGAAGGCTGCTGCCGAGAAGGCTGCTGAAGAGAAGCGCCTTGCCGAAGAACAAGCCGCCAAGGAAGCCGAAGCACAGAGAGCTGCCGACGAGAAGGCTGCTGCCGAGAAGGCCGCTGAAGAGAAGCGCCTTGCCGAAGAACAAGCCGCTAAGGAAGCCGAAGCACAGAGAGCTGCCGACGAGAAGGCTGCTGCCGAGAAGGCCGCTGAAGAGAAGCGCCTTGCCGAAGAACAAGCCGCCAAGGAAGCCGAACCACAAATGATATCTGAAATTTCTCAACAAATCCATGATAAGATTACACAAGATGCAGTTCAAGAAAACCTTCCTTCAACTATTGAAACTGATAAGGAATCAAAGAAGCCACATAAAACAACTAAACGCAAACGTAAAGTTTCGAAGACTAAGAAGTCTGAAGAACCAATCCCACAGAGGACCCAAATCCTTATGGCTTCTACTGCACTTGCTGGTGTTGTTGCAGCTGGAATTTATCTTTACCGCCACAACCAGAAGAAATAAGTTTTATTTTATATTTTTATTTTCATTTGTTAATTATAATAAACAATTCTATTTTCATTTTTATTTTAACCCTCTTATTTTCTTTTGCGCTTTCCGCTTCAAATTATTTCCTTCTAATCAAGACTGATTTCAAGAAAGAACGACTATGATTCATAACAAAGCGAGAATATCTAAAGGATTTATTTGTACCTTTCAAGAATTGTAAAAAAAAAAAAAACGAAGGGGAAAGGAATTCATCAAGAAAGAGATATTTCAAGAAAACTCTCTGAATCGATGAACTCGCCTCTCAAGCTTTCTGCTGCTAAAATTGTTGTCCCGAAGAAGAAAAACATATCACAATCAAAGTTAATCAAAAATAAAAGTTATTCAAGCGAGTCATTCAATGTTATTAATCCAACGCTTCGTTTTCTTACAATTTCAGACAAATTTGAAGAGAAAGCATTGACAAAATTGCAATAACCTCCAAAAATCCTGCAATCCAACATTCCAAAGTCCAAAAATATGAATTCTCTCATGGCAAATCAGTTTATTAGGAACTTTGTATATGAACAAACTCATGAGGTAAGTGCAATTATCATTCAGAGAGCTTTTCGTCTTTATTTAACTAAAATGCACTATAAAAAGTTCATTAACATCCGCTTGCGATTCAACATGAAGCTAAAGAAACTGTTTTTCTCAACTGGAGGCTTGCTGTCGTTGATAAACCTTCTGATCAAGTAAAATTATATCATCAATTTAAAGTTTTCCAGAGCAATATTCCATGGATAGCTCATGGTCGTGAATTAGCATGCTTCAATTATTACTATTGTACATATCAAATCTATGTTTCTCCAGGTTATTCTCAAGAAATGATTTTCGAATTCCTGAAACTCATGTTTTCGTATTCATCCTTACGTGTCTTCAGATTATGGAAGCTTACAGCTTGTAACAGGAAAATTCACCGCGCAGAATTAAAATTTATCAGATTTACCGCAAAAAAGTCTGCGAAACTATCTCCAGTCTACAGAATCTTCATTGTTTGGTTCAGATACGTGAAATGGAAGAAAACTTCCAGGAAAACTCACTTCGAAGACAATACTTATATTCATCTCGAAGTTCAAGAGAAGATTCCTAAGTGGTCAATCCTCGAGCGAAGGCTGAATCAAAAGCAGCGTACGCTAATCATGATCCAAGCCTATTTGAAGAAAAAATTGAAAACAAAAGTTGTAAAAACACTTTACAACCGCTCTATCGAGAAACACACCGAACAACTTGCGATTATGGACGCAGATGAGTTCCGAAACAACCAATTATCTAAGATTTGCTGCAGAGCTTGGTTGAAATACCTCGAAATTCAACAGAGACAGAAGCAAACGATCAAGGAATGCATGTCTGGATGGTATGAAGCAGCGTACAATGACGCGAGGAAGAAGATTCAGATCAATTTCTTCAAAAAAAGAGAAATTGAATTCTTTCTCCACAAAATTCTCACGAAATGGAACAGAATGTCGACTTTGTACAAAATAGAATCTGTATACAGATGCCTGGGAGTACAAAGAGATCCTTCTTTAGGTCATTTGTTCTGTTTTTGCTTTTTCAATTTTGAAGTTGCGTTTCAGATCATGTGTTGGCGATCATGGCTCAAGTATATCAGGCGCAGACGTGCATGGAAGAGATTCTGCCAATCAGTTCAGGATACAGACCAACAAAACGAAAAATCCCAAATTATTATGTCCGAACTCAAGAGAATTGCGCGCGCTCATGCTGCAGGATTGAGCACAACCAACCATGAATTGCTTCCAAGAGGTCTAGGAATCTCTCCGGAGCTTCAGCTTCTGAATATTAATCAGATCAACTCGGATATCGAAGAAGAAAGACTTTCTCAGACATTTATACCATACGACAAGAATGTTGAGAAGACTGGTGACGCTCTTGTTCGCTCATTGTTAGTTGTTATTTCAAACAAACAGAATCTTGACGTTTTCAAGAAGAAAGTCAACACAGTTGATCATTTCGAGAGATTCAGGACATTACAAGACCTCCAGGAGCAGATTCTTGTCAATTCAAAGATATTTCACGACAATATCAGAATTAAACTGTTCAAAGACAAGTCAATCATAGCTTCCATCAATGCCCACAAGGAATCACTCAAGTATTCCCAGGAATTCGACTTCCTTACCGCTAAAAGCGAGCCGTTGACCACAGAACCGTTTCCGGTTTTTGATGTAAACGATGGAAAAATTTTCGTTTTTTGGGAATACGAAATTTCGATCAAAAACATCATCAGACAGCACCAAATGGCTCCTCCGAGGTTGCTGAACTCATTTGGAAACGAGATGAAAGCAGCCTTTCGTGCTTTCGACCGCAGACTTCGTTCACCTTACGAAATCAAATTACAACAGAAGAAAAGTGATAATTTAACGAACATTTTCAGCGGATTTGCTAAGAATATGACTGATACAGCCAAGCTTATCAACAATATAAAGACGAATTCCCATCAAAATCCGTAAATCAATCTCCAATTTCGGCAGAATTGAAATTCTTCCAGTTCAAGTACATCAAACCACTTCTTATACACATGACTGATGTCGAAGTCTGTCTTGCGTGCATCAAAACCCTTGCTGTAATCTCCGGAAGAACTGTCAACGCTTGTCCCACCGAATTACTACCTCCGTTGGAGGTTTCCATGAAGAGGAAAGTGATCAGGAACATCAAGGCATTTGTTGCTGAGACACAACTTACGAATATCTCGTCATCAGTCCTTGGATTGTATAATGGAATGAAATTAGACAACAAGTTGAAGAAGTTTGTCGGAGATTGTGCATTCATGGACTGTGTTAAACAGGATAGCGACGTTGCAATGGAGCACAGAGTCAAATTATGGAGAAGAATCAAACAGAAGTATCCGAATTTGGACCTTCCTGAGTCTCTTCCAGACAGAAACATCAACCATTTGATGTCTGCAAATATAAACAAAGTAAGAATTAGATCTTCAACGAATTTGCTCGCTTTGCCTGCTGATTCGAGAGATGAGCTGTCTTCTGTTGAGGCATTCGCTGGTTGTTTCGCATTGCCACTAGTTGTTGGTGGTGATAACTTAGTTTTGCTGATTAATGAATTCGAAAAATAATTTTTTTGTATTATACTTGTGTTTTTTAAACATATATTTTGTTCTTTTGCGTTTTAATTTAATAGTATATTTGTTTGATATTAATAATTACTATATTTTAACAAATAATTTTAATAAAATTTTATGAATTTTATGTGGGTGAACCTCAAACTAGTATAAACATCTTTTTCATATAGGGTATTAGCGGCTCTATGATTCCTTCTGATCCAATATGCATATTTCTTGCATATGGAAATATATTGTGCTTAAATAGCTGAACAATTAATGACACATCATTTTCTCAGCATATGGCTAACTATCTTATCATTCTTAATGCACATATTTTATTCTAATCGAATATTGACATCCAAAATATGTCGATTGAGCAAATTTTATGAGGAAAATATGATAGATATATTAAGTACATATTAAATCTGATGTTAATTTGTATATGATATTAAAATTTTCGTTAGAAATTTTCATGAGGAGGGAGAAGTTGAGCAAGAAATCCTTTAATGAACTTCTCGCTGACCTCAACGATGAGATAGAGAACAAGATCACATCACTTGGGCCAAGTGATTGCGTTAATTTTCCTATTTCATATCGAAGTTTTCCTTCATTAGAGGAATATGATAGCAAAATAGAGGATTTCTTCAAAAGATTCGAATACAAAAGTCCATACGGAGAAACTTCATTCTACTATGAAAACGTGAAACAGAGTTTTGAAAATTATCTTGACCCATTATCACATGAAAGTTTACACAATTTCGTTGAAAAGTACTGCAACATGCTCGAAATGAAGCGAAAAATACTACATGAAAGGATAAACACACCATTTATACTTGAAAATCACTTTTTAGAATTCAATAATTACGAAAAGAAACTAATGCAAGAAGAAATGGTAACACAAACACTTTTACTCAAACTCTCTCAAAAAGATTCTAAACTTTTAGAGAATGAAAAACAGTTTTTGAAAGAAATAGAACAAAATTATCATCTTCAGTTCTTTCCACTCGAATCATTTTACGATGTTTTCCTATTATTTACTCTTACACGCAAGAAAGAGATTGTTTCGCTTGCAATTTCTCGATTAGATCAAGATGACGAAAAATATCAAAATTACAACTTCCCTTCTTTCCCAACTACATCAGAAGAGATTGTTAAACGGCTTAAAACTCTTTCTAGCGAACTAGGAATTGATTTTGACATTGAATTACATGATGGTCATCATTTCTTCTATTCATGCGATAAAAGCTTCTCAGATGTATTCAGATCACATATAATTGCAGGGTCCATCGATCCTCCACCCTCTGTTATCAAAAATCCCTCTCTTCAAGAGATTATTCAAACAATAACTTACGATAACATGAAATCTGACATGACAATTGCCAGGAAATTAGCTGATATATCATCAACGAATCCAGATGAAATCAGTGAGATTTTATCAGACGTAAGATTTGAAATAAGAAAAAAAATTGACGTTCAAGATGAGATATTAGCTTGTTGGCAGAAGCTTTCCTACATCAGGAACAGAAGGTTATTGTATGATATCATTGAAATACTGCATGAAATCAATGATTTGAGGCATAAAATTCACAGATTAGAAATTCCTTCAAGAAATGCACCTTCTATACCTGGTTTTGCAGTATTTAGAAGACAATTGATATTTAATATGACGGAAGCACGCAATATTAATCAGAATTTGGACGTAGATTTGATTCTTCAAGAATGTTTGTTGTCGGAAATGAAATTTTTGACTTCCAAGAAGAAATTGATGGAAGTCTTATATGAAATTTCACTTCATACGACTTCAAATGATGTTTTGGAAGTTTGTGACGAAATATTTTCTTTAAGACCTGATAATTCGTTCTTTTTAGAAGGAACTCACAAACACTTTGATAGATCTTATGATTTGGAAGCCTCAAAATGTGATTTAATCGCTAATATTTTTTCAATTTTAATTTCAATGCAGAAATCCCATCTCAAGATGAATGGAAAGAGTGAATTCAATGGTATATTCTCAATAATGACAGAACTTTCGATTCTTCCAATGTTTTTCAAGGCAGAAAGAGGAATGAAGTTCGAAATCTGCAATACGATGCTTATGAGAGCAGAAAAATACAAGGAATATATAAATTATGGTATTTGGAGGTCATTGTTGAACCTAATCAAGAGTTATCAAGGAGATTTGTTTTATCCTTTTGATTTCTTGCAAACTGACTTCAATATTCCAGGATATGAAGGCTGTGCAGATACATTCGAAGCTCAGATATCTTACCACGCGATGCAGAAAGAAATAATGAAAACAAAAGTATTATTACCTTATTACAACACTCAGGCGTCTCAATTCTCAATGCAGACACTGGAAACATTGACAAAACCAAGCCACAGAGAGCAGCATATACTAAATGTTCGTTTGGAAGCAGCAATAAGATATAATAATTATGGAATGGAAGGAGAGTTCAACAAATCATTCAATAAGGACTATATCTTTTACTACTACCTTCCGAGCACGAATTTATTCGCTTCTTATGAAGACGACGTAATTTTAACTTCAATGAGATCAGATTTAGCATTTCTGATGACCATGGAGATGATTTTCTTATGCCAGAACGGAAAGCAGAGGTCTCTCAAGCCAGGGAAGTTCTTTAACGGCGAAATAATCGATCCATTTGCTATTTTGAGTTTAGACGATTGTTTATCAATGAAAGCCGATGAAAAGATCATGAAGATCGCATTGATAAAAACAAGGTTCCTTTTCCTCTCAAGATTCTTGTATTCTTCCACTCAAAGACATGAAAAAGTTTTCGAACAGATAAAAAGTGACAACTTTAGTAACCAATCATCATTAATTCCGCAGATAGTACAGGAATATCAGAACGAGAAGAAAGATGTTGATACCGCGTTAATTTTCCTTCAAGACATGGAAAATTTAGAATTATTAAAAATAATTTTGACAATATTGATTCCAAGCATTGACCAGATCGAGAAACCGAAAGTCCAAGTCGAGAAAATCATTGGCAGACGTCCAAACACCAAAAACGGCTCAATTGAAGGTCCAATTCGCGAATTATTCGAGTCAATCGTCACTTTTCCACATTACGAGAAACAGTTCATCACCATGTCACGGTTTATTCCTTTGTGGATCATCCAGATGATGTTCTGTCTCGGAGACAACGCGAGGACATTTTTCCAGGAAGGCTCAAAAAATTTGGATGATTTAATAAATGACGCAACGATAAATGCGAAAAACAAAACGAACAAAGAGAAGATAGAGTATTTATCAACATTGTTCAACTCCCAAATGTTAAGACTCTGCTACTTCGAGATCTCATCCGGTTTGGAAGAAGAAGATTTGGATATTTTAACTGTTTTTCTCAATTACAAAGAACAAATTTTCCAAAAAGGTCAATTTTTTGCAGAAAAACTGACAAAAACCACTTCACTTCCAAAAATTGAGGGTGACATGACGAAGATAAAAGAGAATGAGTTCGAGATCATCAAATACAAGACATTTATCAAAGGAGTATTGAGAGAAAAGCAGAAAAATGAAGTGAAGTCATTATTTGACAAAATGACAGATGATTATCAGAAATCACTGAATTTAGGAAGTCCTTCTTTTCGGCCAGAGATTTATTCCAAAGCTATAAGTCAAAGTGATATCAAGAAGAGTGTTTATTATCTACCAGATCCTTCTGATTTGATGCATCAATTCACTTTAGAGAAAAACTACAACATATGTAAATTGATTTCAAAAGCAAGTGATTGTGCAACAGCTTCTAAATCAAGTACAAACGAAATCAATCATGAAAAACTAAGAAATATTTTGTTGCCGCTTTCTCAAAGAATTTATGACATTTTTGATAAGAGTATGGAAAGATTTTCTCAAACATGGCCTTCTACATTGAGAAGCGGTCTTAATATCTACGAATCTAATATGGATGACGTGTTGAGAAGTGATTGTTATCTAAGAAAATTGTCAAGGGATTACGACGACCAAATAAAAATAAAAATTTCTGATGAAATGTCAGAAAAATTTTATTTGTTGAATAACTTGTTGGCGACATTGAAACAGACTAAATCTGAGAACAAACACTTCGAGAGACAGATGACGGAAGACACACAGTTCTATTACAACAAAGTGTGGAATGATTTGAGGGAAGAAATTGAGAACAGAAAGAAAAATTTCGGAAATGTTCATGATGAATTTTTCAGTGCTGCATTGGATACTTTGACTGATTTATTGACAGGAGAAGAGAGAGTCCACCAAGTAGTAAAAGAACATAAGTTCAAAGAGAAACCATCAGATCCAATCAAAGCTGTGAAAGAAGAAATTGATTCACTAAAAGAAGAAGTCGTGAAAATGAGAATTGGAAATTGTATCAGACAAATCGGAATGAAAAAAGTGTTTGAGAAGAAAAGAGACATCCTCGTTGATGACAGAAGACAGTACAATTCTCTCCTTTGGGGTGGAAAGCACCGTCTTGATGAATCACTCCATTTGTTACAAACAGAATTGTTAGAAGGAGAAAAGAAATTGTCAAATTTCGAAATGACGATAGAAGATTTACAGAAGGAAATAAAGACAATTGCTCACGAGAACGCTATGCTTTCTCATATAAGAGAGATGCTCTCATTGAAGACGAGAGATCTAAATGAAGATTTGGAGCCATTAGTTGATGTCGATGAAGATGAATTATGTGAAATTTTGTCGAAATTGGAAAAGGCAAATTTGGAATTGGACGAAATGAAGGAAGAACACGACCAATACGAAGAACAAGTCAATATACAAGTGAGAGAACCAATAGCTGCATTGGATAGAATGAGAAGAAAACTCGTAACAGCGAAATCACAAAGCGTAAGAGCAGATAGATTGAGTTCTCCTCCTTCTCCAAGACAGAAATCGGCGAGACAACCATCTCCTAGACAAGGATCTCCAATTAATTCTGATTATGATGATGAAGATGATGAAATGACAATTGTCGAAAGACAGTTTTTGGAAAATAAGGAATTGAAGAAAGAAAATGAAGATTTGAAGCAGAAGATCGAATTCATCAAGACACAGTTGTTACCACAACCTGTTGCTCCTCCAAATTCTGCTTTGGGAGTTCCAAGACTAAAAATTCCAAAAACAGCAAATGATTTGTACAGTAGATTGAATGCTCCAAAGACAGCAAAGAGGTCGGCAAGAAGCAGAAAGATTGTGAAGCCTCAGGCTTATCCGAATACTGCAAAATCAGCACGTAATTAATTTATTGTTTTTATATTTTTTTGTTTTTTATTTATTTGTGTTTTTTATATATAAATTTAGGAAATTTATTTACAAATTTTTCTAGGCTCATATTTATTAGATATGCTTGGATCTTTCCAATGACATATTATATCAAGAGCAGTGTGTAATGATGTACTTATGAAAAGCCCTAATGGTTATATCACCGAGAACCTTCCTATGTCTTTTTATTTGAAAAAAAAACTGAAACACTCTAAGTCATAACCAGTTCTCCATATTTTAGTCTTTTCAATAGAATCGAGCACTATATATATATACATATTGAACTCAAACTTAAAATTTTTTAGAGCCGAGAACTACGACTCGGATTTCTAAATGAGTGCAATTGTTAATTTAGATTTTGAATATCTTGGAGCTCATTTAAACGATTATATACAAGAGGGGAATTTCTTTGATGTATTTGAAGTAGATGACATCGAAAGAATCATGGAATATTCCAAATTAACGACAAACGATTTCGTTACTCTTCTCAAGCAGTCTGAATCTATTATAAATGCAAATGAATTATATCAATGCACTCGAAATGCAAATGTTTCCATTTGTAATGCTCAAGATGCAATTTTAATATTGCAAACAGTCAGAAAATACATGAATCTGAGAATATTTGATGGAATTATTGATATTTTAAACCGCATGCAAAATGAAACTCGTGATTGAGAAGAGAGAATACAAAAACTCCAAAAAGATTTTGAATCAGTACAAACTCAACACAAAGAAATTAACGAATTTCCAAAAGAATTTCTATCAAAAATTGCAGAACTCAAGAATTCTAATAATTTTGGAAGTAGTTACCTTTTCTTTAATGAACTTTCATACCATGATAATCAAAAACTTGTCTCAAAAGCATGTGATGAAGGGCTTTGGAGAAAAATCGCTCCCAAAAAATATTCAAGGTCCGATGAAAGGAATGTGCTTCATGTGGCTTGTGAATTAGGAAATGTCAAAATTGTTAAATCTCTCATTGAATGTGGCTGCTGGAAAGAAGCAAAGACAACGCGTGGATATACGCCGCTAATTGATGCATCAAGAAAAGGTCAACTTGAAGTTATCAAATATCTTGTCTCTGTTGGAGCTGATAAAGAAGCAAAAGATAAATATGGATCTACTCCACTCATCTGGGCATCAAGAAAAGGTCGACTTGAAGTCGTAAAATATCTTATCTCTGCTGGAGCTAATAAAGACGCAAAGAACTCAAATGGAAACACTGCGTTAAGCTGTGCAAAGGATGAAATAATAAAGAATTATTTAACATAATCTAATAAAGGAATGTTAACATTTGCCTTGTTTTAAAATATTTTAAAATCAATTTTCTGATATATATGCCTTTGAATTTTGTTACAATTAATCATGGACAAACAACTTCTGTGAAATCGTGCTTGGATAAGTTCTCACAGATGATAAAATAAGAAGATCACGAACTTTTATTGTTGTGGGAGTATATTTGGATCTGTTGGAAAGACGAAGATTATTGAGATGAAGATCTGGTGTAAGATCTGGACTTCTTGAGTAATGAAATGATTCAAATTTATTTCAAATTCATCAAAAATTAAGATATTTCATTTTTACTTAATCTATAGAGCCTGCAAGATCATGAAATGACCTAAAAATTTTATATAAAAAATGAGGTGAAGTGAAGAAATTTACTTATCTCCCAGTTTTTCTTGTTATTCTAAATATGTCATATTTGAATATAAATTTAAAATATCCGGCCAATTAACGATAGAAAAAATGAATTTTGACAATTCATTCATCATTTTTTTATAGGAATGCCAAAAGTCCTCGTTCTCGCTGCTACAGGTTTCGAGCCAATGGAGCTTGTTAACCCAACAGATCTTCTCCGCCGTGCTGGTGCCGATGTTAAGGTTGCTGCCGTCGGAACACAAGGATTACAAGTTGATGCTGCTCACGGCGTCAAGATTGTTGCTGATGTCAAGTTCGATGCTGTCAAGAACGAAACATTCGATCTCATCATCGCACCAGGTGGCATGCCAGGCACAAAGAACCTTGCTGCTAATCATGATGTTGTTGAATTCATCAAGCGCCACGACAAGGCCGGCAAGCTCGTCGGTGCTATCTGCGCTGCTCCAGGCTTCGTCCTCGCTCAGGCCTGCGGCATCATGAAGGGCAGAAAGGGTTGTGGCTACCCAGGCTGCGATAATGCTATTGCTGAGACAGGTGGTGAACTCACAACAGATGCTGTTACACGCGATGGCAACGTCATCACATCCCGCGGCCCAGGCACATCTCAGCAGTTCGGTCTCGCTCTCATTGAGGCCCTTATCTCTAAGGAGAAGGCTCATGATGTCGCCAAGGGTGCCATCCTTGCTTAAACGGATGTTTTTACAAACTTTTATTTACATTTTTTTATACAAAAATTATTGAACTTCATTTCTTTAGTGTTTTGATTTGTGTATACACTTCTTTGCATGATTTCCTTCTTATTTTTATTAACGATTTTGAGTTCGCTTTTAAATATTTTATTTCGAATTTTTTTATGATATTTCGGAGCCATCAATACGAAAGAACATCTAACTACTAGCAGTTTTCCATTATTTTCAAGTTCTCAATGGATTTTAAAAAGCTTTAATGAAAAGACCACTAATATTGGAGACATAAACTTAAATTTAGTGAGCACAAAGAATAATTTCTTTAGCAAGTCAAAAGGATATAAAAATTGAAGTTGGCATTCCGTTATTGTAAATTTGAAGCTATTGTCAAGGGGTACATTTCACATTACGGAGCATATTTCGCAACTTTCGGTTTAAATATGCTTAATTCTTTTTAAAACTCTGTTAAAATGTATAATAATAATATATTTACTCTACTTTTTTATTCTACCGGCCAGGAATCTAATAATTTATTCCTTCTTGCTCTTCTTAAGGTTCTTTGTAGAATCCTTAAGCTGATATCTGCAGGCAAGTAATGATGTGATGATTGTGATGAAGGATTCAGCGATTGAGAAGAAGCACCAGATAGCAGAGCGTTCGCCATCAGAAACTTCACCTCTGAAGAGGCAGGAGATGAATGGGCCTGTCAAGAAGAGGATGATGGACTGGAGTCTTAAGCCAAGTAAGAATGGAGCAACAAACATGAAGAGGAAGTGAGCAGCTACGTTCGGGAAGGCGTATGATGACTTGAGGAGCTTGAATTCCCACTTAAGATGGTAAAGACCATTTGTTGTGCATGTCTTTTCACCGCAGATGCCTTCTGCGTGGTTGCATGGTGTGAAGATGAAGTTCTGTGGGCCGTCGTAGATGAGTGGGATGAGGAGACGGGCAGACATAAGAAGGCCAGATGTGAAAGCAAACTTGAAAACAAAGTTCCAAACCTCTTCACGCTTCTTCTCAAAGTTCTTGAAATCGAGTGCGGATAAAGCGATGTTGGAGAAAAGTGGCTGCCAGCAGATATGGATATAGCCGAGTGCTGTCAAGATGATGTTGGCCATTGAGTTGCAATCATTGATGACGAGGTACTGGAAGAACTGTAATGCTTCCATCGAAGCGAAATAGATGAAGCAAAGGCAGATTCTCCAGCGCTGCCATGGCTGAAGATTCTTCCAGATACCCTTGCCTGACATGACCCAGCCACCGAAGAAGAGGCTAGTGCATGTGAAGCCCAAAGACCATTCTTTGTTAAAGCACATGACTAAAAAAGTGAAATGAGCTTTTCAAATGGATATCGTTTTGTCTCACATTGCAATGGGGAACTGGTGCTGATTCAATGCTAGGTCCCAACGATCAGATTGATAGGTTTGTAATTGTGGGTGTATTCAATTTTTGAGTTCGATAAGTCTAACGGCGATCAACAAAAAAAAGTATTGGAGAGAAAAAGATCGACTTTCTTCCATCATCGATTTTAATATGATTCGTCTATAGTTGTCATACAGTAGATTGCCGAATCATATTCCGGGTTTTCAAAATTGTCTTTTTCAACAAAATAATTGAAATTCTTTAAATTCAAGCTTTATTAAGGTTCCCCTAGAAGAAAAGCTTATTTATTCGATGTTTTAGTCGCAACCATCCACTCGATAATAGTGGCAACACTTAAAAAGTATCATATCAAATAGACCATTCTTTTTTTTTCCAATTATTATGAATCTTGAAAGTGTATCGCGTTTTATCGCTCGATGTAGAATTCTTCCTTGGAAAAAATGACTCTTCCAAAGCCACAAAATTCAAAATTATTTGCTTTTTAGATTTATCAAGGATTTTGACGGCTTCACGTTCAAGTAATTAAATTTTAAGTTTCAGATTATGTTAATATGACTAACTAATTTATGATTTACAGTATTTGCAAGAATAAATTTCAAATTATTCCCTCATGAAGTTTTTAACTTATATCCTTTCTAAGAAATATGTACAGTTCCAACACCTCATATAGAAAATTACTATTAGCGAAAACTATTGCTGAACATGATTATTAAAATGAGTAATGAAGCATAAGGAATTAATTAAATAATGGTTTTTGGTATTTACAGTAAATAAACAAGATAAAACATGGGTATTTCGCATAAGAAATAATAATTGAATAGAAATTGTGAAAAGAAGCTGATTATGTTCTTCCCAACCAAAACAGAAAAACTCCGAAAAACCAAAGGATGAAAATTATTACAGCTAAAGTTGGTATCCAAGCAAGTCCAAAACATAACCAAGCTCGAAATTTATTTTTCTTCCAATAGTAAATGAAGAAAACGAATCCTAATAGCGGGATAAGGACGCTAGCAATTGCACATAATATTGTAATTCTTTTTTGCTTTTTTCTTTCCATTTCAGTGAGTTCTGGTGAAACTATGTCGGCTTCTACGCGGGCATCATCACCTAACATTGATTGAGAAGCTTGTTGAATTTCGCTTTCATCAATCAATTCCAATTTTTCCTGCTTTTCTCCCATTGAGATTTTCGGCTTCTATCGGCGCGCAGCTGCAATTTTTAATCGCTTTTAAAATAATAGCATATATCAAGTTGAGTATATTAATATACTATGGATTGATCCATTTAAATCTCGGAAAAATCAATGATCAATTAATCCAAGCATTTAACTTTGTTTCTAATCCTATGTGATATCATAAGCAATTATAAAATATGTAATAATCTCAATAATCTTCGAAATACTGAATTGCTTGTTATTAAAGATTCCCTGATTTCCAATTAATACTATTTATGATGCATAAGCAGATTATATAATTGATTATATAAGAGATGATGGCTTTATTTGCATGTTCTTCATGATTGATTCGGCAATTTTATGACTTGGAGAGGACAAATTCATGAATGAAATTTTCAAAGCTGGCTTAAGCATTTGAATATCATTCATCGATTACTTTATACATATATAAGAGTGTTTACTAGTTCGGCTTTAAATACTTCACGAGTAAGAGAAAGATCAGAATAAATTACACATATTCATTATAACAATATTAAGATGATATATATTTTGATGTTACAACTTACTGTATTATATATCTTTGACATACAAAATAGAATCAGATTTCTATCCTAAGAATCAACATATATGTAAAAAAAAATTGTAACATAGTTGCATAATAACAAACAAACGATCAATTATCTGTAGATATATGGTATTTCACTACGATGTACTCACCTAATGCTGTTTTCAAATTGATTGATTTTAAAAAGCCGTTGAGGGTCCGGTTTTTCGGATGGGAAATGAAATGATATTAGATACATAGTAAGAATATGCTTTCATTTTTGAAAACGAAGTGAAATTTTTAAGTTTTATTTTTTTCTCCGAAAAAAACTCAAAATGGGTCTTTTAAAATAATTATAAATACATACTGTTATTTAATTTTTGATTGAATTGGATCACTCTTTTACGATCTCGAATTTTTTCATGAATTTGGTTTTTCAAATGGAGAAACTCAAGCAACAACTCCGGTCTGACCTATACATGAATAGATCAATATAGATCAGTCGATCTTTCATTTTATTCTAAGGCTTGCCAGCGTTTAATGTGATGATTTTTGTTTTGAATACTATTTCATTTTGTGAAGCCATTTATTTATTAGGTTATTTAGGATCTAATGATTCAGAATAACCTTTCCGGGAAAAATGATGTAGATACCATATAAAAATGACGGATGTACTTTGAATAGAATACAAAAGATGGGAAAAATATTCTATGAGCTACATCAAAAAATTCTGTAGTATTTCGACCACATTGCACATTCAATTTTTTGTGATATTTGTGAATCGTTGTAACACTTCACTTTAAAAAATGGCTCAAGCTTTCAACAAGAGCAAGAAAGTTCAGGCATTCGTCGACGAATTCGTCGCCCTCTGCAAACCAAAGGATGTCATGTGGATTGATGGCTCCCAGGAACAAGCTGACATGCTTTTCAAGCAAATGGTTGACTCCAAGATGGCAATCAAGCTCAACCAGGAGAAGCGCCCAGGCTGCTACCTCTACCACTCCGACCCACGTGATGTCGCTCGTGTCGAGTCCCGCACATTCATCTGCTCCAAGAACAAGGAAGACGCTGGACCAACAAACAACTGGGAAGATCCAGAAGTCATGAAGAAGAAGCTTCGTGGTCTCTACGCCGGATGCATGGAAGGCCGTACAATGTACGTCATCCCATTCTCAATGGGTCCAATCGGCTCCTCCATCGGCAAGAACGGTATCGAAATCTCCGACTCTCCATACGTCGTTGTCTCAATGAGAATCATGACACGCGTTTCCACAAAGGTTCTCGAATGCATCGGTGAGAACGGCGACTTCATCTCATGCGTCCACTCCGTTGGTTACCCACTCAAGGACGGCCGCCAGGATGTTGCTTGGCCATGCGACCCAGAGAACACATACATCACACACTACCCAGAAGAGCAGACAATCTGGTCCTATGGCTCTGGTTATGGTGGCAACGCTCTCCTCGGCAAGAAGTGCTTCGCTCTCCGTATCGGCTCCAACCTCGCCCGCAAGGAAGGCTGGCTCGCTGAGCACATGCTTATCCTTGGCGTCAAGAACCCAGAAGGCAAGAAGACATTCGTCACAGCTGCCTTCCCATCAGCTTGCGGCAAGACAAACTTCGCCATGTTGATCCCACCAGAGGAACTCCGCAAGAAGGGCTGGGAAGTCACAACAGTCGGTGATGATATCGCTTGGATCAAGCCAAACAAGGATGGTGAACTCCGCGCTATCAACCCAGAAAACGGTTTCTTCGGTGTTGCCCCAGGCACAGCCATGAGCACAAATCCAAACGCTCTTCTCTCCTGCGCTCGTAACACAATCTTCACAAACGTCGCTCTTACAGACGATGGCGACATCTGGTGGGAGGGCATGACAGAGGAGAAGCCAAAGCACCTTATCGACTGGCAGAACAAGGACTGGACACCAGATTGCGGCCGTGTCTCATCACATCCAAACTCCCGCTTCGCTGCTCCAGCTGCTAACTGCCCATGCATTGACCCAGAATGGGAGAACCCAGCCGGTGTTCCAGTCTCCATCTTCGTCTATGGTGGCCGCCGCATGAACGATATCCCACTCGTCTTCCAGGCCACATCATGGGCTCACGGTGTTTACCTTGGTGCTACAGTCGGCTCTGAACAGACAGCCGCTGCTGCCGATGGTAAGCTCGGTGCTCTCCGCCGCGATCCATTCGCTATGCTCCCATTCTGCGGCTACCACATGGGTGACTACTTCAAGCACTACCTCGAGATGGCCAAGCTCGCCAAGACACCACTTGTCTTCCACGTCAACTGGTTCCGCAAGTCCCCAGCTGGCAAGTTCCTTTGGCCAGGCTTCGGCCAGAACGCTCGTGTCCTTGGCTGGATGGTCAACAGACTCTACGGCAAGGCCCCAGAGCACCTTTCTCCACTCGGCTACGTCCCAGAGTACGAGGATATCGATTGGGAAGGCCTCAACTTCACAAAGGAGCAGTTCGAGGAAGTTATGCACCAGGATAAGGAGAAGATCAAGGCCCAGGTTGCTGCTAACGATGACTACCTCATCAACAAGATCGGCCACGTTTCCCAGGAACTCCTCGACGTTTCCCAGGAAATCCTCAAGCGCTGCCAGTAAAAATGTACTCTTTATGACTTAATTTATTAAATTATTCCTCTTTTTTTTCTAATTATTCTAAACTTCAACAAATCCTTGAGTAATCATTTAGCTGAACTTCTTTTGATAGTGATAAATATTGGAATGAGGTACATTGTGTATTGTAAGGATGTTAGATTTATTGTTGAAAGTTGTCTCTTTCGATCCTTCATAGTTGATTTTATATCAAATTTTGGCGGTAACGGATATAAAATCTGATTGATTTTCATGTTTATCAAGTACGAGTCCGAGAGAGATTTTCAATTTGATGGTCCACGTGACGTTCCTGGTCCTGGTGCTTACAGTCCAGAACTCAAAACAACTAGATTAGCTCCAATGATTCAAGGAAAATATGAATCTAAACCACCTGAGCCTCCTCTCAGCGGAGAATTAAAACACACATCATGGGCGCCTCCAAAAAGGCCTACTTCTGAATTCAAATCCAGATCAAAACGAATTTCAGCTTTTGATTCTGATAATGCAATGACAATTTCACCTGCTCCAACATCATATCAAAAAACTGAACGATCTACTTTAAATATTAAACCGAAAACAATTGGTAATTTTGGATCTAGAGCAAATCGATTCCATGATCTTGAAGAAGATGGTCCTGGTCCAGGAGTATACGAATCAAAGCCTGTAGAATGGGTAAGTTCTCAGAGAACGTGCCGAATACATACTAAAACTCGTCAGCCGAAACGAGATATGAATACACCCGGACCAGGTACATATAACATTGCTCCTAAATGGGAGAGTCGAATAGATCGTCCAAAATCATCCTTTGGTAGTGCTAGAAGGCTCGAATGGACTGACAGGCAAGATACACCCGGTCCAGGTTCTTATTATCTTGATAGATCAATGCAGGTTCATGGAATAAAGATGAGAGGAGTTAGAGCTGACTATAACTCAATCTTTAATATACCAACAAGAGATAATCCTGCACCTGGAACTTATCACTCACCAAGTACTTTAAGTGCAAGAGGATTCACGATCTCGAGACAAGAAAGATTTAGAGAAAATGTAGATGATACTCCAGGACCAGGATCATATGATGTCACTGCTGGGCCTTTCATTAAGAAGACATACCATGTTTAATTATATACCATGCTCTTTGCTTATAAATTTGTTTGTATTTCCTTTGATTTTACTATGAAAAAGAACAAATTTTTCCCCAAATATCTTATTAAATCAGAATACCTTACGACAAATATAATCCACTCTATGAAATAGTTTTATAGCATCGCAGGCAATAGAAGAAAGCGAGAAAATAAAAATAATTTCTCCGAATATTCGCCGTATATATTAAATATTTCGGATTCATAATTATTTGTCTCTTGATTAATGAGATGTCTGTTATAAATCGCATTTCCGATATGGTTTTTTATAAAAAAATTCTAACGGAAAAAAAATGAAGTAACGTATTTCCATTCATTTGACAGAAGATGAGCCAAGACAAACGTGCTGTTGTCAAGAATGTCGATATGTCTGATGAGATGCAGCAAAAGGCTATCGATACTGCTATCCAGGCCCTCGACTCATTCAACATTGAAAAAGATATCGCTTCCTATATCAAGAAGGAGTTTGACAAGACATACAACCCAACATGGCACTGCGTTGTCGGCCGCTCCTTCGGATCCTTCGTTACACACGAGACAAAGCACTTCATTTACTTCTACATCGGTCAAGTTGCCGTTCAACTTTGGAAGTGTGGTTAAACTGATTAAAGGAGATATTTATTGTCATCAATTATACATATAATATTTTTTTCTTCATATAAAATGAATATCGATGCCTCCAAAGTAGGAAATAAGGCGGCATTTTTAAAAGTTCGTTATCCGACAGGCTCTAAGGGCCAAGAGGTAGCTAGTAATATTTGTAATTTATTTCTCAACAATTTAACTAGTTTATTCTATCATTTATAACAAAATATAAGTCAAAAAAATAACATAAAAAACAAGAAAGATCATCCACGCCTTAAAACTATATGGAATCCTTCTACCGTTTCGAAAGGCTTAGAAATCTGTCCGATCCCTAAACCCCATGCAACTTTCTCAAATTCAGGCGGCATCTTTTTTCGAGCAATCCAGCCTAAAACTCCGTTAAACTTAGCGCTCTCGCAATCAGATCTATCTTTAGCGATACTTTCGAATTTTTTATTATCAGTAAGTAAAATCTGATGTATTTCGTTTATTATGTTTTGTGCTTCTTCACGAGTTCTCTTGAGAGCTGGATTTGGATGTTCTGATTGATTGTGTTTTATTAAAATATGTAATACGTAAACCATTGGTGGCCATTCTGCAGTATTTTTATCTCCTGGAAAAGGAACTGGACGAATCCATGTGCTTTCATTGGTGACTGAGTTATAATAGTAAACTTGTCCAGGGTAGTCTTTGCATTCGCGTAATTCCCAATTTGGAGGTAAATCCATATTTATTTGTCACTTTTATTTCCAAAGTCCTGTTCTTGAAATGGACTGTACATAGAGTCTAAACCAGCTAAGTCATTTATATAAGTAAGTCTATCTTTCAGATAAGTCAAATCGTCCACTTTCCTGAACAAAATGGTTGATACAAATGAGCAATAAAGAATATATCTTCAATTGATACCTAATATAAAGAGTATAAATTTTTGGCCAAGCTGTAACTTAAATGATCTTTTCTCTTCCATATTCGACTTTTTTGTTTGAATATTGATCAAAACCTTGTCCTAAAGGAAATAGATCAAATTATTTTGTCATACCTTGCTAAGTGATAATAATGTCGACTATTGTTTACTGATTAATTATAAATTTCGAAGATTTCGATTCAAAATTATGCATATTTTGCGTACCATAGTAAATAAATAATCGTACATTTTGATGACATTGATAAACATATAGATAAAAAGGAAAAACATTTCTTTCAGTTAAAATCTCTCGTGAATTTTGTCAAATTCCATTTTTTCACTTAAATTCAGTTTGCAATTAATTCCTAGTATTTTATTTAAAATGACAAATAACTAATCCAAATCTCTGATTCAAAATTTTCTGAGTTGATCAGTTTGTAAAATTATGGTTCAAGAACTTATGTACAGAGGATGTTCGTTTTTTATCAGAAATCAAGTGAATTGGTTTATGAGGTTCAAAAAGCAAAATTCACTTAGGAAAGGATTCTTGAAATCGAAATAGTGCTAATAAACAAGTTTAACCAAATTTCTGAGACGAACTTTTTCAAAATTGAGGATGTCAAAAAACGCGGATCTGTTCAAGAAACGACAAAACGTCGTACAGGAAATTATTAAGACAGAGCATACATATAACATGGGTCTTCAAATGCTTAACACATTAGTTACCAAAAAACTTCTGAAATCGTTAGATGATAAAGAATTTTCACTACACTATGCAGAATTGAGGAAATTATTCGCCAAATTAATTGATGTCGAAAACTTCAGTCGTGCTTTTGTCGAAAAATTGCATACAACAATCATCGCTAATAAAAATACGAAAAATATCGCCGAAGCTTTTGATGGCCTTAAGCAACTCGTCGATGTTTACTTCGAATACATTTATGCCTACCATTCTAATATGCCAAATATCAAGACGGAGCGCACTAAAAACGCTGCTTTCTCCAAACTCGTAGAATACTTCGAGACTAACGCCAAGGATACCATTGAAGCCTTCCTTATCACTCCAGTCCAGCGTCCGCCACGTTATCGTCTTCTTCTTCAGGAATTGATCAAATATACTCCAAAAGAAACTCAAGAATACACAGATTTAAACAAATACCTTCAAGAAATTATGCAGGCTATTGCCAGCGTGGACGATAAGATCGATGTCTTCGATGAATACAACAAAATGTGTCAATTACAGAGCAGCGTCTCTGATTTCGATATTATCGGCGTCAAAGGCCGGAGAATGTATTTCCAGGGTCCTGCAACTAAATTCTCCCGTAAATATACAAATAATCGTTATTTGGCCATTTTCAACGATGGTTTACTTGTTCTTGAGTCATACATGGTTATTAACTGGAAGCCAAACAAATTCTACAAGACTGGTGAATATCTAATCATGGATGTTGCAGATTCCCCACCATTTGTAAATGCCATTGATGTTCGCCAGAAAGACAAATCATTCAGATGTAACCTTGAAGATAGTAAGGCCAAAGTTGAGTTCCTTCAAGGATTTGAGAAAATGATGAAGGCAAATAATTTGACTCGAGCAGATCTCGAAGTTCGCGGTTTCGCACCTGTATGGATACCTGATGACCAAGCTCCTGTTTGCATGGAATGCCAAAAGAAGTTCACATTGTTCTTCCGCCGCCATCATTGCAGAAGATGCGGAAAATGCATCTGCAGCGATTGCTTCAAGAACCAGATTCGTATTCCTGGTATATCAGAGAGCCCGAAGCACGTTTGCAATGAATGCTACAAAGAACTTATTTCAAGAGAAACAGAATTGTTAGAAGCACTCACAAAAAGAGGCCCATCGCAAGAACAAGAAAAAGCTGATGATATTGATGAAGATGTTCCATTCGTTAGCGCCCTTGACCAGGATAGTGACTAAGAATTTTTATATTTAAATTTTTTTGCTTTTAGATTGTTCTTGTGAATAAAGTTATTAAAAATAAGGATGTCAATTTGGAAGAAAAGTGAGAAAATTCCTAAAATGCTAAAAATGAATTTCCAAAGGTAGTCTCACGAAAATACGTTATTTTCCCGATGCCTTGGAAGCAGCTTTGCAGGTTACCCGTAAGGTAACCAGTAGAAGTTTCTGAGCAAGGATGAAGAAGATTAAAGAGCCTTTTTATTGCAAACGCTATATTTGTAAGTGTCTTTGTAGAACTTCTCATAAATTCAAAGATTTCCAAAAACGAATTTTTCGATTTTGATATAATAAATGATATTTAAACAAATTATAGATGTGTTTGCAATTAAAAAAATCCGAGTTAACTACAATATCTTCAATTTTTGTCGTTCACTTTTTCATGTCATACTGATAGCAAGAATACTCACCCAATTTGGTTACACTTCATGATAGTTTGAAGTAAAAAAATGCCACAGTTTTTTTTATTTGATATCGTTATCTAAATTTTGTACAGAAATGAAATAAATTATAATATGAAACGTGTGTTATTATGCTTGTTGGGAAACAATCCAATACTTATGTCTGAATGAAATGATTATTTCTACGAGATTTTGCATATTCAGCTAATAATGCTATCAAAATCAAATAACAATAAAAAGTTATTTTGTACATAATGTAACTTAATCTTTAATACTATATAGAACTTCGAAATACGACTAAAAGGTGCGAGTTACGCGATTAAATACCTTTTTTTCGATCGAAACTTGAAAGTGAGGATAACTCAATGGGTAGGGGTATGGGTTCGACTTTTTCTATTGGGCAACTATTTTTTTCTTTTCATTGTTTCAGCATTTTTTTATGCGATTATGCATAATTATTTGATTTCCTATATATTCAATAATAAATTTGTTCCGAACTCTTAACAAATAAATAAATTTTTAGAATATTTAAATTTATAGCTCCCTACATTAATATAAAGTGTTCGAATAGTTCATATATAGTTTCTTTAAAATAATTTGTTTCATTTTAAATTGGTTTGGCACAATGCTTGACATAACATGCACAAAGCTATGCCATTTTAAAATATGTATATCAATCAAGCCGATTAAGTCCATCCTAAACGAAAATCATCGATACTCATGAATTTATGATAGTCGTTCTTGATATAATTGCGCGTTTTAAAAAATGCTTACTTTTGAACACAGAACTTATCTATCCATATTTATCAATGAAAGTTTATAAGATGCATTAATGACAAAACCTTACTTTATCAATTATAATCTTATCGTAAATTTCAAACTACAATACTGTGGGGCAAATATTAAATAACCACTATGTTGCGGATTTTATGTAAGTCTGCAAACTGTAAAATGTAATTAAACACAAATAAAAAAAAAATGTAAATTTTAATCGAGAAATTTAGCAATCTTGAAAGCCTTGATCGGCATCTTTTACAAGATGTCAGTAATGCATATTCAATAACTATGAAAATCTAGCCAAGCATGGATTTTTTTCGAAAAAAAATTGTATTAAATTTCATTTTTCATTCTTTATACAAGTTTTAACCTTTGGTGCAATTATATCCTATCGCAAATGCATTATTGACGTTATTACTTGGATACTTCTTCATAACGCTAAATCTTCAAATTAGTTATGTATTTGTTACTAATAGAAGTTGGAAAGGTATTAAAAAAGGAAATGTTAATAAATATACATGTTTAATTAAAAAACAAACAAGAATAAATTAAATAATTTTATTTCTTAGGAAAGTCTAAGTTTTGTAATAGATAAATTGCTTTTTGTGTCTCTTCTTCATCAATTTCTGGATGTTGATTCTCAGGTGGCGGACTAATTAAAACATCATGGGCAATATCAAACCATTGTTTTAGTTCGTTGGCAGAAGGAAAATGATCTTCTTGTATTGGCGTTATTAATGATTGAAAATCATCAGTTGATTCTGCATTTTGGGAATTTTCCAAATTTTCATTTGGAAAATTTGAATTTTGAGATATTGTTTAAGCACTCAGATCTCATTTTTAAAATATCTGCACCAAATTCTTACATCTGATAATTTTATGTGTAACCAATGTTTCCCAATCCATTTGCCATACCCTACTAATCGCAAATTCATTCCCTTTAATTTTGTATTAAATTTAAATTCCAATCTTAATTTCTACATTATTTATGCTAACCCTTTAAATTTTGTTCTTATTTATTCACCCTCAGATACAAATTTATTTAGAATGTATTCCTCTGAGGTCTATATTTGTATTCGAAAATAAAATCTTTAAAACTCTCTAAGTTATCATTTTCTCTTCAGATATCTAATATTTTTCTAATGACATAACTACTTTGGACGCATATCCAAATTCCAAAAAAAATATGGAAAAAATAAAAATGAAATTGAAAAATACAATTTTTGATATGTAAAAAGAGATTTTGAAAAAAATTGGGAAAAAGAGTATCTAATAAAATTGTTTGAGATCTATGTAGACATAGTTTTTACATTAAAAAATCAATAATATTGAAATTGATCTGAATATATCTTTTTTTTTAAGTTTGAATGCATTAATCTCAAAGCATTTGATAAAATACTGGTTTTATTTCAAAATTCTAAATAATTTGTAATTAGATCTTTATGATGTAATTTAATTTTAAACAAGTACAGATAAAGAGAATCATAATAAAGGTGATCTATATTGCTTAAGTAAAATTGAGTATAATAGATCGATCTTAGCAACAAGATCTGAGGAAGTAGATTTGAGAGTCGAGAGTTTAGATCTTAGCAACAATATTGAGAGTCGAGAGTTTAGATCTTAGCAACAAGATCTGAGGAAGTAGATTTGAGAGTCGAGAGTTTAGATCTTAGCAACAAGATCTGAGGAAGTAGATTTAGCAGTCTGAGAGTAGATTTGAGATCGAGGAAGTAGATCTTAGCAACAATATCTGAGGAAGTAGATCTTAGCAACAAGATCTGAGGAAATAGATTTGAGAGTCGAGAGTTTGGATCTTAGAAACAAGATCTGAGGAAGTAGATTTGAGAGTCGAGAGTTTAGATCTTAGCAACAATATCTGAGGAAGTAGATCTTAGCAACAAGATCTGAGAGTCGAGAGTTTGGATCTTAGCAACAAGATCTGAGGAAGTAGATCTTAGCAACAAGATCTGAGGAAGTAGATTTGAGATCGAGAGTTTGATCTTAGCAACAATATCTGAGGAAGTAGATCTTAGCAACAAGATCTGAGGAAATAGATTTGAGAGTCGAGAGTTTGGATCTTAGCAACAAGATCTGAGGAAGTAGATTTGAGAGTCGAGAGTTTAGATCTTAGCAACAATATCTGAGGAAGTAGATCTTAGCAACAAGATCTGAGGAAGTAGATTTGAGAGTCGAGAGTTTAGATCTTAGCAACAATATCTGAGGAAGTAGATCTTAGCAACAAGATCTGAGAGTCGAGAGTTTGGATCTTAGCAACAAGATCTGAGGAAGTAGATCTTAGCAACAAGATCTGAGGAAGTAGATCTTAGCAACAATATCTGAGGAAGTAGATCTTAGCAACAAGATCTGAGGAAGTAGATCTTAGCAACAAGATCTGAGGAAGTAGATTTGAGAGTCGAGAGTTTGGATCTTAGCAACAAGATCTGAGGAAGTAGATCTTGATAAGGGAGTTTTAATTTTTTTTTCAAAAAAATTAAGGAACTTAAATTGAGATTATCAGGCTATGTAGTGGGTATTTTTACGATCTGACTGCAGAAATCGAATCAGCGAGACCCGAAGATTCATATTCCGCCGGAAAAATAGGGTTTCGAGGCGTAGATAGGGATAAAAAGATGCTTTAAGAAGATCTCAGTAGAAATATGGTTTATAAGAGGATATAGGTCAGGATATAAGATTATGAAAATTGAAGAAGTGAATTATCAAGATGTATTTATGAGTAAACTATATTGTTTTAAGCTATCTAAATCTGTTTTGATATAAATTAAAGCGTATACTTATGCAAAATGCGAAATTTAAATTAATACTTTTTTTTTGCTATTTGGACACAAAGCTAACAATCCATCCAATAAATGACGTATACCTAGCGAGATGAAGCATTTTAACATGAAAGACAAGAAAATCTGATTACTTGTGTTGAAAGTTTCTGTATTTCGTCTTCTTCCAAACACAGCGTTCAGATGCAGAAGAAAATGCAGCCGTAATGACGCAAAAAGACACTAAAATAAATTGGAGAATTTCTGTAAAGTTTTTACTGAGCTTTGTTATTGAACCCGAATTTGTTGCTGAGTGACAGGATATTAAATCTACGACATTCATGAGTAATTGTTATCAATTTGTCAATAAATTATGTTGAAGATGGTTTAAATGTCTTCGAAGGCATGAAATTAGATCCTAAATCTGTTTGAGTTAATAAAAGAGAACAAATGTTGAAAGAGTTGTCATATTGCCTACAAAATTTTCAAACATTTGCATTGAGACAATGTGAAAAAATGATGTCCAAAATACCTTTACTAAAATATTTTTAATTTGAATCATAACAAGGAAAAACAATAATGGCAGAATAAGAAAAAAAAACAAAGATGTTATGATTTGAACAGTTGCCTTTTAGATTCAAAAAGAGCATAGTGTTCCCAACCAAGACACTACCTTCCTTTCCGATAAAAAGCTGAATAATTAGTATTTAATGAATTCTCCAACTTGGGGATTTGCAGCTTTTCCAAAATCTGTTATGATAGTTCTATATAGCAATTGATATATAATATGTTTTTTATAATCAAATAATTTTTTAGTCCAGATAAATTTTTTAAAATTTCAAAGTCTTTCCATTCTACTAACGCTCTTCACATCCATATTCTTTACCATATATGTAATATAACGCCTTATTTTAATTCCCATGTTTACGATTTATTTGTCGAAAAACTGTCTTGCCCATTAACATCTCGCGAAAATTTTCGACTTTTTGAATGGCCGTTTTCAAGATCTCAA